TTGGTACTTTTTGTTGTCGAAACTTTATTTTTCAACTTAAGATATAAATTTATTCATAACCAGAAGCATGCGAGACATGTAAGACGATGCACTCTCGTTATTTATTTATTTTGGATGATGGACGATTTTCGGTACATTTTATAACCTCTCGGTCTTGAAAGATACTGATGTCCCTGTTATAACATGGCCATACGAATCATATATAAACTATGTTTTTCCACAGTCTCATGTCGAAGAAGAATTATTTTCTGTTATGACGTTTGATGTTCATGACGTATCTCATAATTGGTTTGCATTCGTATACGAATATCAGGCGGTTTCACTACAAACCAGTAAAAGTCTGAAATGGCCTATATCTGTACTCGACTGTACTGATTTTTACTCAACCAGTCTGAATTGGTCTGAATTTTACTCGACATTACTCGACCCCAGTCTTAACCATACTCGACTGTACTGATTTGTACTAGACCCTTATCTTTGCCATTGAAAATAGTCTGAACTATTACTCGACCAGTCTGAAACAGTCTTAACCCATTCTCGACCTATTTTTTTCAGTCTAAACCATACTCGACCAAAGGTCTGAACAATACTCGACCAGTCTGAACCATACTTGACCAAATAACCTCTACTTTTTCTAAATTTTAACTGTTAAAATAAATTTCTTTTTAACTGACATGACAACAGCCACAATAAAATAAAGATATATTATAAAAACAGATTTTTACATTCTTACATGATTCTCAGATTTATCGAATAGAGATAGTTAAATCAAATTATCTTATATGATAATTTAATTATATTAATTTTAAAGTTTTAGAGTTTTGTTAAAAAAAAGATTTTCTTTTACCTAAAAACACACCTATACTGAGGGTAATTAAACCGTATTAAGGTGCTTCTTGTTTGGCATGTGTTTTTTTTTTAATTAATTTTCCTAAATTCCTAAATAAAAACTACATAGGTTTCATGGTTACATACAAAATATGTACAATAGTTATATAATTATCTTTTTAATGAGGTAACAACAGCCAACAAAATCACTGAAATTGTTTAACCTTATTTTAGAAATATATCTGTTATTATAATTTGGGACATATTATATACAATATATATCAAAAAGGGGATAAAAATTAAAGAAATTAATAAAATTGTTCTTCTGATTAGTGGTGAAGTATAAAGTAATACCTCCTGCTTGGGGCAAACTCATGAAAAAGATCACACCTGGTCAGAGAGTATTAAATTCTAAATAACATTCATTCAAAATTGCAACATCCTGTGAAACTTAAATTGCAAGGCCTTTTGAATTCACTAGATAAGTAATACACGAGTTTAAGAAAAATAGGGCTTTCTTTTAACCTGTAAAACACACATGTACTGAGGTAATTAAACCTTATTAAAGTGCTTCTTGTATGCCATGTCTTTAATTTTGACAAAAATTATTTAAATTTAATTGAAATAAATTTTTACTGTAACTTTGGAACACATTTCCTTTTTTAAAAGTTTATCACGGGATTACTATGGAAGTTCTATTATCATGATTATATTTTAAATTCTTGGTTTAACAAAACAAAGGTGTCATTTTTTAAATTTATTAAGTTGTTTTATATACTATTTTATATATATATTTTAATAAAAAAAATGTTCACTGCATTATTAACTAAACTCAACTGACACCATAAATCTATACGAGGCTTAAGTTAATGGTGAAAATTGTCCAGTAACCATAAAATATATCTGAAACATTCAAAAAATTTTAAATAACATTGAAAATATTAGTCACAATTCAGTTTTGAGATTATTTGATCAGCTTGTTTTATTTTTATTTTAAAGGTGATATATATGTATGTATATAAGTGTTGATGAATATGGTGATGAAGTTATATTATGTTTATTGTGAAATTTTGGTTTCAATGCTATATTGAATACATTTTTAATTTCAAATTGTTGTTCAAATTTCTAGCCAGGGGAAATAGCTGTTGTTAAAAACAGTTCCTAAATTGATGAAATACAATAGATAGATACAAAAAATAGGTCTAGGTTGGTTAAGACTTGGTCAAGTACGGTTCGGACTAGGTCGAGTATGGTTCAGACTAGGTCGAGTATGGTTCAGACTAGGTCGAGCATGGTTCAGACTAGGTCGAGCATGGTTCAGACGCATATAAAATGGTTAAGTACTGGTCGAGTACAAGTTCAGACTGTTAAGTATGGTTCAGACTACAGTCGAGTATTATCAAGTAAATTTCAGACCAATTCAGACTGGTCGAGTAAAAATCAGTACAGTCGAGTACAGATATAGGCCATTTCAGACTTTTACTGGTTTGTAGTGTTTGTTGTTATCAAGATCAACCAAAAATATATCCATAACGCAAACACACCTCTTCTATATAGCACTTAAATCATCACCATATTTATTACACACATAGGCAAACCTACACATATGTATATTTACATGCAAGAGTAAATGAATACCATGTGACAGGGACTTTATAAGGGTTGAGGGTAACACAATAGTTAATTCACTATAGCATTCGCGGGTGAGACTCGTTATTTTATGCCATGCTCGGCATATCAACTGCACAATGTGAAAGATCAAGATCTGATTTTTTATGACAGTGAACTAGATCGTGAGAGATAATGTACTGCTAAACATACAAAGAAGCGTTACAATCTCGACATCATGTAATTGTTATAATTAAATACTGACTTAAATGGCTTAAACATGTGAAATTACTTTTGTTAGGAAATATGGTTATATATAGAGTATACATGTAAGTGATATTTTATACAAACGAAATTATAGGAAATTTTCCCCAGCTAAGATAAAGTAACAAACAAGACATACAAAAAACACTAAGCCTGAACATATGTTGCGTACAAACAGGTCAAAATTCTTCCGTTAGATGTTATTCTTCATTATATCTGTACCAATAATCCCCCAAAATTATAGTGCATTATAGGCGGCAAAGTATTTGGCAAAACCTTTTGAATTTTTGATAAGCAATGCTCTTCAATTTCGTACTTTATTTAGCTTTTTACTTGATTATAGCGTCACTAATCACTACATAAGTGACATTACAAACAACGGTATATTGCTGGGTCTTCCAAGTGCTCCACGAAACCTTTTTCTAAATTATTAACATCAATTTTATCAGATATCAAAGCCAGTCTTCAAAGTTATTGTGAAACTGCCTATTCTGTAGGTGGTGTGAATCAGATGTGGATACTAAAAAATTCCAAAGATCTTTTAGAGTATATACAATCTAAAACTCTTTCATCATGCAAAAGTATTAAAACACTTGACTTTTCTACACTTCGCACAGACTTTTCTACACTTTACACAAGTATTCCCCATTCAAAACAAAACATAATTGAAAAAGCGTCTTGTCTCAGGGAGGGATAAATCCTACTTTGTAAAAAATCACTCTGATTCGAACAAAAAATTCTCTGAAATTGACATTATCAAGATGCTTGATTTCTTGATTGACAATATTTGTTACGTTTGGAGGATGTGTTTTTCAACAAACTATCGGCATTTCCATGTGAACCAACTGAGTCCCTCTTCTTCCTGACTTGTTCCTTTATTCTTATGAGGCTGACTTCATACAGGAACTTCTTAGGAAGAAAGAAAGGAAGTTAGCAATATCCTTTAAAATTACTTTCCGCTATATAGAGGATGTTCTTTCACTAAATAATTTCAAATTGTGGTGACTATGTTGAACGCATCTATCCCATCGAACTAAAGATAAAGGATACAATAGATCCAATTACGTCTACCTCATATCTTGGTTAACATCTAGAAATTATCAATGCGGGTGGGTTGAAAAAAAAACTTTAAAACAAAAGAAATGATTTCAGCTTCCTGATTGTAAACTTTCCATTTCTATGTAGCAACATTCCAGTAGCGCCTGCATACGGAGTATAACTCTCTCAATTGTTACGATATTCCCGGGCTTGTATTTCCTATCATGATTTTCTTGATAGAGGGTTGTTGCTCATAATGAGGCAATTAAACCAAGAGTTCTAAATGGCGAAGTTGAAATCATCCCTACGGAAATTTTACGCACGCCATCAGGAGTTGATTGACCGATATGGAATATCCGTTTCACAGATGATATCGAATATGTTCCTAATGTCGTAACTACAATCCCGTTCCCTTTTCACGAATGTGACCCACCGAATTAGACTATTTACCGGGTTTGTTATAACATGACCAACATGACGAGTGCCACATGTGGAGCAGGATCTGCATGCCCTTCCGGAGCACCTGACATCACCCCCAGTTTTTGGTGTGGTTCGTGATGCTTAGTCTTTAGTTTTTAATGTTGTGTCTTGTGTACTATTGTTGGTATTTTTGTCTTTTTATTTTTTAGTCATGGCGTTGTCAGTTTATTCTCGAGCTATGAGTTTGAATGTTCCTCTGGTATCTTTCGCCCCTCTTTGATTAGTCTTATGTAGACGACAAGAGTACATACTAGTAGTTACAAGCCTGGTATTTTATGATCAATTTACTAAATGACGAAAGGTCGAGTATCGTGTAACCTCAGGTTGTTAAGACACATGCCACTATTGCATTTAGAGGTTTTGCTTTATTTTTTTAACTTCTCATTGGTACTTGTTGTATATAAAGGCAACAGTGGTATTAAGTAAAATCACAAAAATACTGAACTCGGAGGAAAATATAAAACCTTTTTTAGCATCTTTTACTTATTCTTTCACGATAATTTCTGTTGATATACCGAGCAGAGTTCACGTAGGAGGATAAGAATTTTTTTTTAAATTACCTATGGGGGATAATTTCTCAATAAGTTTTCAATTTATAAAACTTTATTTTAAACATCGTTTTTTTAACTGGCCAGCCAAACATTAACCCCGGAAGAAAATGTTATAGACGCAATCTAACATGTTACCGTTAACATTATGCTATGTACGTTAACTTTGTTATAAATAAAGTTTACGACAAAGTACCGATATCCGTACACTAAAATTAGTATGTAAGTATTTAGATATTTATCAGTTGAAATTCTTTGAACAAGGAAATTTTATACATGTTAGTATGAGGATAAAATGGCGACATCGTTAAACGTAAAGGAAGAAGCTGAACATATAAAAGAAGATTTTGTCGATTTATTGACGTGTAGTATTTGTTTTGAAATATTTAAACAGCCAAAGTATTTACCGTGCCTTCATACGTTTTGTGAGACTTGTATAAGTTCATACATTGTTTCAAAGGCGAAGGGAAACAACTTAAAGGGATTCAAATGTCCAGTATGTCGTCGCTTTGTTCCTATGGGAGACAATATGAAGAATCCTGAGACATGGGCTAGATCTTTGCCGGGAAATTATTTTGTCGTTTCGATGATTGATAGGAAAGCAATGAAGAAAACTGAAAAACTTTGTGATACTTGTAGCAGTAAAAGTATTTCGAAAGAGGCGATTTCTTGGTGTACGGTTTGTGCGGAAGCATATTGTGATACTTGTGACGACTATCACAGATCATACAAAATGGCCCGAAATCACAAGATAGTACCGATTAAAGATATGCATGAAGAAACGTCTATTTCAAATATTTGTTCGTTTGTTGCTTGCGATGAACATCCAGACATGGCAATTGGAATCTACTGCAAGGATCACTCCCAGCCATGTTGTACCATTTGTGCTACTGTACACCATAGAAAATGTGAACACGTGGTTACCATTGATAAGGCTGTAGCTGGTGTAAAAGAGTCTAAAAAAGCACAGGAATTTATGAATAAATTAAACGAAACAGGTAAAAAATTAGATGGAGTTATCAAAAACCGAAATCATTATACGACAAATTACAAAAAAGAAGTAGATGTTGTCTTAATGGAAGTTGCAAACATGCGTAAAAAAGTAAATGAAAAATTGGATAAAATGGAAAATAAGATAAGAGACGAAATAAATGGTGCAAGGAAACGAAATCTTCTAAGACTAAGCGAGGATTCCACAGAATTATTCACATTGAAGAGTAAGCTTGATCATTGGAAGAATATATTTGAAAAGTGTCTATCCCAGGGAACCGAACTACAATGCTTGGTCAAATTGGAGGGAATTTCAAGAAAAATTCCGCAGTTCGAAAAGGATTTGTCTACAGTTATTCAAGGAATAAGGGACGTGTCTGTTAAGTTTGAAGCTACAGAAATTGTTTCAGATACTGTTCGCTTCGGTCACCTACATTATAATGAAAAAAAGCCGTCTTTTCTGGGTTTAAAGACTGTAAACTTTCATACTGGAAAGATCAAATTTTTGTTTACAATCGACATTAGAGGTAGTTTTATCAGTGGTATATTCTTTAACGACGATATCATTATAACGGACCATGATAAGAAAATGGTGGTTCATCATGAGAAAAATGGGAAACAAACGGAAAAATTAAACATTCCGAAACCCCCAACTGATATCACAAAGGTGAATGATTGCACTGTAGCCGTGTCTTCAAATACAGAGAAAATATTTATAATTAACGTGAAACCGTTAACATTAGTAAAGACTTTGGATAGCAGTGTTCCTTTGTGGGGATTATGTTTGGTTGACAATGAGTACATAACAGCTAGAAACGGTAACATTTCTTGGTTAAACGCTGAAACGGGGGCTAAGATAAAACAAATACAAACAACAAGCTCAGATACACGATTTGTCACGTGTTACCAGAAAAGTGAATACATTTACTGTAAGGGTGGACACACTATTAACTTTGAATCAGCTGTCGGTAAAGGTTTTCAGTATAACCATAGTAACTTATCTAATCCGTATAATCAGGAAATTGACAAAGAAGGGAAAATATACATAGTAGGATACGGTTCACATAACATACATCAGCTGACTTCTACTGGTCAGCTTATCCAGATCATACCTGTATCAGAAATAGACAAGACAATCACTGGATATCCATGGGTGATGCGCTTCAAACGAAATACTAATCGGTTTATTTTAACATTTAATTCATGGAAAGTTCCAGTCTATGTTTGTGAAATTGAATAAACTGCAATTTAGAATAGTTTTTTTAAATAAGATGTCTAGAATCGGTTCATATGATCATTAAACAATGTTAAATTAGCTTTGCTATGTATCATGAATAAATGGAGATGTGGGGTAAACGTCAATGAGACAGCAGTAATACGTCAAAAATAACGAAAAGACTACTAGATAACAACATACAGTCTTCAACAATGACATGTACCTAATGACTATTGTATGTCAAGCTCTGAATTTTCAAGTGTATATAGAGTTCAAACGATTTATGATAATTGTATGATCCTTTCAAAAAACTACTTTTTTTAAGGTTGTCAAATTAACATTGTTGCTATATCTTTGAATTTATTCTTTATCGGTACTGATATTGATTAGATTTGTTTTTGTTTGATATATATATATGTATACAATAACTAAACATTGCCCTACATTCTGTCGATACATATATTTTGGCATTGCACAAGTTCACAACCTGTTATACACAGTTATAGGAGTGGCCATAGTGAATATTTCAAAAATGAAAGTTATTGTGCAATAAAATTGATTTTTAGATAACTAAAGAATAATATAGCCTTCAAAGTGGGTTTATATGAACATCAAGATTGTTTTTTCCATGTTTTATAGGCCTTTTTCTGTTTGACAGACCGTATTTTCATATCCATACCGCCCATAGGTCCAGAAATTATTGTAGTGTTTTTCAACAAATATTTGACGATCGAACTTTTCAATTCAATTTTATAGAAAAATGAGGCGAAATATTTTTTTTTCTTCTTGGTAGATAAATGTTAATGGTTTCAGAAAAGGTATCACTATAATGGATTGAAATTCTACTTTGGACCAAATTTTGGGGACTTTAGTGACATTTTAACAGCCCACTTTTTGTAATACACCTTACCGCTAATTATTCAAATCCGGAAAATTCTAAAATTACACAACTTTTGCATCCAGTTGCAGCTATCAGGGGTAATGTTTAAATAATGTATTATGCATAAAAATTTTCAAAGAGAAATGTTTAAACTATCGTTAACACGTCAAACAAAGCATTTTTATTACATTAATTTGTGTTATAAAAAAGTGGATCATAATCTATCAAAGTTTCAAAATGTTTGCTTCCTAAACTTTTCCCTTCCTTAGCTAGTTAATGATGACCTTTTGTTTTTGTAAGATTTGATCCAAACGCACGAGGATAAAAGCTTATGTGAAGGGTTACTGCCAGTCACCCAACGTCAAAACCGTAGCACTACGAATATTGTATACGCAAGTTAATGTAGTTCCAACCAAAAAAGGAAGATCTGAATACCTAAAGGGAAACATTGTTATTGAGCATTTATTTGCCATTGAAGTGCAATCTTTCTTGATTATTAAATTAAATAGAATAACCTGTGATTTACAAGTAAGATTAATTCCAGCAAAACATTGAGATTAAAATCGACGCTGTTTTATTACATGCCACGTGACTCAGTTGTTGCTTAATATCATAAATTCTGTCAGTCTCTATAATATGCATTTTGTGTCTTTTAATTTTAACTTAAGGTTTCAGATATTTTATCTTTTGATTATCCTCTTTGTATTACGTTGACAATTACTGTTTATTGAAAATATTTAAAATACCATTAATAATCATAACAGGCAAAATGGTAGGTGACTGCAGGTCACATTTACATATCACCAACTTTTAAAATGTTGTAGATCTGTTCACGTAGGTTATCATGGATTTACAATTATTCATATGAGAGTCAAAGAAGAAATTGAAGGCACGACCTCGGATCTGATTTTCAAAAGTATCTTATGACTAAGACATGTCCTACGATGGTTTTAGGACATGTCATAGTCGTAGGATATGTATTCGAAAGGATCTCAAGTTATGATATCTAACTAAATTTATACAAATTATCAACTCAGATTATAACTCGTTTTCATATATACATTCATGTTCATCGTGTTCATTATAATGTAAAATATGAAATATTCGTATAAGATCAGAATAGTAATAGTTTTTTATACATATATATTTTCTCTTTTGACTGTCATAATAGCATCAAAGGTATGACTATCTTATGACAGCCATGATTTTCGTTCTATGACATATCATATGATAGTCATAAGATGTCATAAAATTTGTCCTAAGATGTATCTTATGACATATCTTAGTATACTTTCGAAATCCAACCCCTGGACTTTTAAAAATCAACAAAATTAAATGTCTACTTATAATTTCGTGAAAACATAGGTATTTACTGTACAGCAACCGAATTTGAAATCCAGAAAATATCTACAGGGGCATATCTTGGTAGTTAACTGAATCAACAGGTGAACTTCGTCTTAGTTCAAATGTTGTTGTTTAGTGGAGTCTAGTTTCCATTCCCTTCCTTGAGTGTTGCAGCATTTTTTTCCCTTTTTTTGGTAATTCATGATGTCAAAGAGTAGTGTCGTGTTAAAGGACTTTTAAATTTATTTAACTGATTTATGACCGTTTTACTCTACATAGACGATCTATTGCAAACCCGCAGGATTTTCACTTAAAAGGGGGACATGTATGTGTTCACGTGTGGAATTATTTGGTGGCATCAATATTCTTTCAAGTAGTCATTCCAAGAAATTTCCTCCGTTGCAATTTTGAAAACATCCCATGGAGCAAATTACACAGATGATTTATATTGACCATTTGGTACATGGCAGGAGTCTAAGCGACATGTACATGCAGGTCATAAATTAATTTGTTGAATATTTAACTACTATTGGGTGTCGTAGAATGTCCACCAAGGTTTAATTGAACTGTTCGTGGCATGACTAGTATTGCGAGCTGTCAGATCTTTTATTTTCTAATTAATAATTATAATTAGATTTTGGTTTTCTGCCAATCCAATTTTCTATAATTTTTCATCTATATATTTTGAATAAATTTGCATTTGTACAATTACTTCATATTAAGGCTCTTGTATTGCCCGATGCAAAGAACTGTTCTGTTCTGAGCTGTATACTGGTAAACATGTAGGGTTAGCACCAGGGTTACTTCCATGCACATTGATGAAGCAACCAGATAAGAGCATCACAGTATTTGCATCTTAATAAATGTGGAACATGTTTAATTTTGTAATATCGGCCCATGCATAATGCAGTTGACAATAAATACTAGAATTGCTTTGTTCATTGCATAATTCGCACTAAAATGCAGACGTCTTTCTGCTCGTCAAATGACAGATTACTGGTCATCGCAGGCCACTAATAGACTTGAGTAACTGCTAGTCTTACCCGATAACACAGGTGATGCTACTAATACTACCCTTCAGCACAGGATTTACAGCTAGTCATACACAATAAAGCACGTGTTATTGCTAGTCATACTCAATAACACTGGATTTACTGCTAGCCATACCCAATAATATATGGGTAGCTGCATGTCACAGAAAAACGTATTGGTAAGGACAGGTTACTCCTGATAACATATTAACTACTGCTGGCCATTTAGTATGACATATAAAACTCATTGGGTTTTGCATGTAGGTCTTCCTATTATTGATCTGTGCCATAATTATCTGAGTTCCCTGTAGGCCACCCTGTTATTGATCTGTACCATAATTATCTGAGTGCCTGTAGGTCATCCTGTTATTGATCTTTACAATAATTATCTGAGGTGTCTACAGGTCACCCTGCTATTGATTTGTACCATAATTATCTGAGGTGCCTGTAGGTCACCCTGTTATTGATCTGTACCATAATTATCTGAGGTGCCTGTAGGTCACCCTGCTATTGATCTGTTCCATAATTATATGAGGTGCCTGTAGGTCACCCTGCTATTGATCTGTACCATAATTATCTGAGGTGCCTGTAGGTCACCCTGTTATTGATCTGTACCATAATTATCTGAGGTGCCTGTAGGTCACCCTGCTATTGATCTGTTCCATAATTATATGAGGTGCCTGTAGGTCACCCTGCTATTGATCTGTACAATAATTATCTGAGGTGCCTGTAGGTAACCCGGCTATTGATCTGCACCATAATTTTCCGATATGCCTGTAGGTCATCCTGCTATTGATCTGTACCATAATTATCTGAGGTGCCTGTAGGTCACCCTGCTATTGATCTGTACCATAATTTTCCGATATGCCTGTAGGTCACCCTGTTATTGAACTGTACCATAATTATGTCTGGTACCTGTATGTCAACCTGTTACTGATCGTTACCATATCATTTCAAACGTGCCGGTATGAAACCCTGCTATTGATATGTACCATATCATTTCAAAGGAGCCTGTAGGTCACTCTGCTTTTGATATGTACCATATCTTATCAAAAGTGCAAGAGGTCACATTGCTTTTGGTCTCTATCATATCCTATCAAATGTGCGTGAAGGTCATCTACCAATAGTCTCTACCATATCCTACCATAGCTGCTGAAGATTATATTCCTCTTTGTCTTTACCATATCCTATCATAATTATCAAAAGTGCCCATAGGTCCCCCTGCTATTGATCTGTACCATAATTATCTGAGGTGCCTGTAGATAATTGATCTGTTCCATAATTATCTGAGTTGCCTGTAGAGCACCCTACTATTGATCTGTACAATAATTATCTGCGTTGCCTGTAGGTCACCTTGTTACTGATCTTTGCCATAATCAGCTGAGGTACCTGTATGTCACCCTGTTATTGATCTGTACCATATCATTTCAAAGATGCCTGTAGATCACCCTGATGTTGATATATACCATATCATATCAAAGATGCACGAGGTCACATTACTATTGATCCGTATCATACCCTTTCAAAGGTGATTGAATGTCACCTTCCTCGTGATTGATCTGTACCATATCCTAATGGCTATCAAAGATGTTTGTAGGTCATCTACTATTCGTCTCTATCATATCCTTTACCAAGTCAGGAATATTTTAGTTGTTATTAAATAGTTCGTTTCTATGTATGTTGGCGTTTGTTTTTGTTGCACTTCAGTGTTTCTGTTGTTCCGTTGTTTTCGTCTTAAAGTTGATGTGTTTCCCTCGGATTTAGTTTGTAACCCGGAATTGTTTTCTCTCTCTATCGATTTATGACTTTTGAACAGGGCTATGCTACTGTTGCCTTTATCTATCATAGCTACTGAAGATTGTATTCATGTTTATCTTTACTATATCCTATCATATTTATCAAAATTTCCCGTATGTCACCCGTTATTGATTTGTACCATATTATATCATAGGTGCCTGTCACAGTGCTTTTGATCTTTATCAATCATTTGAACGGTGCCTGTACGTCACTCTGTTGTCAACCATGTCATATTATATATGCACGTAGGGCACCTTGTTATTATCCATATCACATTATAGGTGCCTGTAGGTCACCATGGTATTCATCCATATCATATTATAGGTTTTATAGGTGCCCGTAGGTCACCATATTAATTTTTTATCCTATCATAAGTGCCTGTAGGTCACCATGGTATTTATCCATATTATATCATAGATGCCTGTAAGTCACTCTGTTAATTTACATATCCTTTCATAGGTGCATGTAGGTCACCTTGTTATTATCCATATCACATTATAGGTGCCTGTAGGTCACCATGTTATTTACCAAACCCTATCATAGGTGACTGTAGGTCATCCTGCTATTTATCCATACCATAAGTGCCTGCAGGTCACAATGTTATTATTAATTTCACTTACTAGCTATAGGTGACTGCAATTGTCATTACCATATATTATCGTAATTATCAAAAGTGACTGTAGGTCACCCTGTTATTGATCTGTACCATATCATATCCTATGTGCTTGTATGTTACACTGCTTTTGATCTTTACCATATCATTTCAAATGTGCATGTATGTCACCCTGTAGTTTACCATATCATTTATAGATGCCCGTAGGTCACCTTGTTATTTTCCGTATCATATTATAGGTGCCTGTAGGTCACCGTATTAGTCTACATATCTTATCTTATCACAGGTGCCTGTAGGTCACCATGGTATTTACCCATAATATATCATAGATAGACTATAGAACAGATAAATGTCAGTGTGACTTGCAGGCACCTATGATAGTCTATGGTACACATAAAAAATTGTATGACCTGCAGTCACCTATAGACTATGGTACAGTTAAAACGCTCTGGGACCTGCAGGCACCTATGATAGGCTTTGGTGCAGATATATGGTGATGTGATCAGCAGGCACCTATAATAGGCTATGGTACAGATAAATAGCAGTGTGACCCATGATAGGCTATGGTGCAGATAAAAAGTTGTATGACCTACAGGCACAAATGATAGGCTATGGTGCAGTTCTATGGTGATGTGACCTGCATGCACCTATAATAGACTAAGGTTCAGATAGATAGCAGTGTGACCTGGAGGCACCTATTATAGTCTATGGTACAGATAAATAAGCAGTGTGACCTGCAGGCTCCTATGATAGGCTATAGGCAGATATATGGTGATGTGACCTACGAGCACCTATGCTGGGCTATTGAACAGATAAAAAGCTGTGAGACCTGCAGGCACCCATGATAGGCTTTGATCTATGGTGATGTAACCTGCATGCATCTATGATAGGCTATGGTACAGATAAATAGCAGTGTGACCAGCAGGTACCTTTGATAGGATATGGTGTAGATCATAAGTGAATTGACATGCAGGCACCTATGATAACTGCAAGTACTCTCAGATCTGTACTTAGTGTTTTTTGTTGTTGTTGTTATTCGCATGTACAAGAACCCATCTACCTCCACTTTGTGTTTTTGTTAGATGTATTTCTGTTTGTATCAATCTGATGAGTTAAGCCTTTTTCAACTGATGTACGTATACATAGTTTGTTCTTATGTTGTACTGTTACACCACTGTCCCAGGTTAGAGGAGGATTGGCGCCTTCAAACTATTTCTGTTTGTGCCTGTCCCAAGTCAGAAACCGGTAATTCAGTGGTTATCATTTGTTGCTGAGTTTCATATTTGTTTTTTCGTTCATTATTTTGTATATAAATTAGGCCGTTAATTTTCTCGTTTGAATTGTTTTCTATTTGTAATTTCGGGGCCTTTTATAGCTGACTATGCGGTATTGGCTTTGCTCATAGTTAAAGGCCGTAAGGGGACCTATAGTTGTTAATTTCTGTGTCATTGGGTGTAATTGGGTCTATAGTGGAGAGTTGTCTCATTGGCAATCATAGTTACCACGTCTTCCTTTTATATATATGGTGCAAATCTATAGTGATGTGCCCTGCAGGCACCTACCATACAGATATATATATTAATGAAAGTGTGACCTGCAGGCACCTTTAATAGCATATGGTGCAGATCTATGGAGATGTGACCTGCAGGCACATATTATAGGCTATGGTACAGATAATTAACAGTGTGACCTGCAGACTCAAATTATAGGCTATGTTACAGATCTTAAATGATGTGATCTGCAGGCACCTATGGTAGTACCGTACAGACACATTTTGATGTGACCTGCAGGCACATTTGATACAGATAAATTTTGGTGTGACCTGCAGGCACCTATAGTATTGTTTATGATTATACGCGTAGGTATATGCAGCACTACTTTTTTATAAGTGGTGACTGGCAGTAACCGTTCACATAAGCTTTTATCCTCGTGCGATCCAAACAGGAAGTTGTATTGGTGTCAGACCACCAATTGAAAATATCTATCTATTCAACCAAATTTTGCAATTATTACAGCTTTCTTAATATTTTACCTTAAGTTTAACTTCATAGAAACCAGGTATATCCTGAATTGTGCATGTATCACCTTTCTACATGCCAATTTTCAACCCATGTTTAAATGCTTCTAAGAAAGAACTGCCTTTCGGAAGACAAGTACTACTAAAAATAACCCCTGGTTTTCTGGTTTTCTGGAAATTTTAAATTAGTATACAATGGAGCGCATGAATCCTCAATTTTTAATGAAAACTCATGGACAAATAAATTTTGGCTCAAAATGGTCTCATTTCTGCAAATTTATTGGTTAGTTTAAGTAAACAATGACATCAAAAGCACTATTTTGTGTCAGAGTAGGGCTACTTTTACATACGTTCTAAATTGGAGGCAGTGAATTGGTGGTATGACACCTTATAAGTGACTGTTTTTTCCAGATTGGACTAAATAGCGATAAGGTGTATATGTTGTATCAAAACAATGCAGATTGTTGCCATGGTTACACCAAAAAGAGATTGTATTTCATCATTTTAACTATTGGAAATTAAAACTATGGAAGATGCTGTTTCTATGCATATGCACATACATAACATACACATTACGCCTTATTTGTAAGAAAGCAAGGGAAAGAGAGTGGTTAAAATTCAATATGAGTGTCAATTTTAAGTTTTTTTTCCCTAACTGTGTATTGCTACAAAGCATAGCTTTGTCACAACAGTGTGTCCGGGGGAGATGATTTGTGACCCTAGTGACTTTATTAATAGAAAGTAAGTTAATCATAACCATACATGACTGGTTTGCTAAGTTAACCCATCGCGGATCATTTTAAGTAAAATTTATTACTCAAGCAGACCAAATTGGGCATTACCCAGAATGTGTCTACAGGCATTTTACTTATTCGTCTACCTTCTGGAAAAATGCATAAAGTATAATAAGGTTCATTCGTATATAAAATGAAATACCAGATACTTGATTTAATTTGGTATGTACCTAGGCTACATAAATGTCTAACATCGCCTCTCTTTTAATATGTCTTCCTAGATATAAACAACAACTTAAAGGTAATCTTAAAAAAATAAAAAATATCTTTAATTTTTTTTTTTTTGGTTTGATTAATTGATTTTTTTTGTGTTTTTAAACATAGTTACGTCAAGTCAGGGAGTAAATTGCCATTATGATAGAAAATACCACCCTAGCTCTCCACGTTATTGTCACTTTTTTCTTATATACAAAATGTCCTTCTACATATATTTTGAACCACCGATTTAGTGGATTTTCTTATCTTGAAGGAAATGGTTAAAAGAAAAAAATAATAGAAAATTCCACACGACTTAATTTCTCATTCATAGATATAGGAAGATGTGGTATGAGTGCCAATGAGACAACTTTCCATCCAAGTTACAATTTATAAAAGTAAACCATTATAGGTCAAGGTATGGCCTTCAACACGGAGCATTGGCTCACACCGAACAGCAAGCCTTAAAGGGCCCCAAAAAATTACTAGTGTAAAACCATTCAAACGGAAAAACCAACGATCTAATCTATATAAAAACGAGAAACGAGCATACATAGAAAGAGTGATAAAATAAAATGAAAGAAGGATACAGTATTTATTTTCTAATTGAATGAATAATTTTAGAGCTAACAACAGATTAATTCGAAGAACGTGGCCTGAGAATTTTGTACTGGTATATACAATGCTTTAAAAATTCATAAATATTAACCCCCCAAAATAACTCGTCGCGTTTATCTAAAAATTCTCATTCCATAGACGTTTTAAGTTTATTTACTGTTTTTTGTTCAACAGAATGTCGTTGAGGAATTCAAGTTACTTTGATACATTATTTTGAAACATACATCAAATGGGACCAAAGACGTTACTATTTACATTTGAAAGTTCTTAAATGGACAAATTTTACCTTGATAGATTAACCACGTGGGTGTCACAAAGCTCAGTTAGTTTATATAAAGTTGTGAAGAGTAAATATAGTGACAGAAATGAAATTTTTAAAACCAATTCGATAATTTTCATTTTAGGAAACCTGTTTATCACAAAGTTAAATTAGATTTGTAAAGTTTAACGCGATATTCAGTGTCTTTAATTTTGGAAATTAAAAAGTTACAAATAGTAAGGTAATATTTGAATATGTAATAATGACTGTTTATTTCTGTGAATTTTGAGACCGTTACAGCATGTCATTGCGAGTTGTTGTTTTGGGTGCAGAAAATGTTGGCAAATCCGGTAAGCATCTTAAAAGAGTGCATGCTTGTTCTTATCTATTAAAACAATGCCTAAGAAATGTAAACAATCTGAAAATCGAGCCATGAATTCCACAATTTGCCGAATGTAATTGCTTTTATGCTGCATATACATTTTGCAGAGATCTTTTCATGTTTTAGTAGTTTCAACTAAATATATATTGTATTCATTGAAATTCAATACAATTCACAAATATAAAAGTATATACATATTTGCTTAGATTTTAGTAAAGCGAAGGATACAATGGAATGAATTAAGCATACATTACATACAATTAGTTGATTGTACAGTAACCTTTTGCAACTGAAAAAAGTACAAAGCAATTTCAAAATGGCAAGTTCTATAAATCATAACTCTAGATTGCTATTTATCCACACTTTATAATTTTCTATGTATTTCTCTTGTTATTTTCGTAGTTTTTCATTCAAAAATGATGCTGTTGCTGCTGCTGATGATGATAAGGATGAGGAAGAGTAGGAGTAGGATAATAAAATCGAGTATTATTAACTCGTAGTACACCATGTACTCCATTCACCTTTTTTTACATAGAAAAAAAAATGCAACTGGATATAGTTTAATATTTGAATATATACCTATCCGAAGAAAGATTCGTTGCTGAAGAATTCATACTCATAAATATTGTTTATTATTTCTAACTTACGTTTTATTTTTCAGCAGTGACAGTGAGATTTCTTACACGAAGATTTATTGGAGAATACAATTCTAATATGGGTAAATACTGTACATGCTATAACTGTGTGGGGGGGGGGAGGGGGGAGGGGGGGGGGGTCTGGATGGGGATCCTTCATTTCTGTATTTCATTAATTTTTTATGCCATTTTTCTCTATTCTTTATACTTTTTGTCCATTTTTCTCTAATCTTTATATTTCAGCACCTCATTATTCTCTATTCTTTATTTTTTTTTGTCCTTTTTTCTTTATTCTTTATATTTTTTGCCCATTATTCTCCATTTTGTAAACTCTAACCCACTTCCTCATAACTGGTATTAACGGCAGGGATTTTGCTGCATCAGATACGCATTTCGATAATTTATTATGTCTAGCCAGTAATGCGCGAGGTCTAAATTTTTGAAAAATCAAAACCTAATATAAACGTTGAAGAGCTGATAAATAAGGTCCATGCAAAAGTAAACTCAAATCTGGACAAGGAATCAGGAAGATACATTCCTTACTTTAAAATGATTTCAAATATTATAACAGAAAATTTCAATAAAACAATCGTATTTCATGCCTGTACCGAAGTACTGCAAGCAGTGGCTACGGGGCTGGTAATACTCTCGACTGTCATCAGTTATAATCATTTATAAAACATCATCTTTTTTATAACGTGACATCTTTTAAATCTGAATGATATGATAAAATAATGCACGGTCGCAGAGCTGTAATGAGAATTATTACCACGTTTGGGCTAGCGGGCGAACAGGCGATATCTTCACCTGTTACCCTTTTTATACCTTAACCGATACATCTTGTCGTTTCTCGGTTGGAACACGTTTAAATTTTCCGTTTTAATTGTGAAATACTTTCTTCAAATGTATTGAATGTTTAGAAAAGAAGGTTCAAAATTTTTTCATCACTAAGAGTTTATGCGCAAATTGATTTATTTCATTCCACTTGACAAAAAAAAATCACTTATGAAATTCACAACTTTTAACTTTTATCAACTAAACGAAGACATTTAATAATAACAAAGATATTAAGTCATTTTTGATCCCGGATTTTTTCAAAACGTGAGGCTCCAAATTTTCCTTCTTGTCTTTTCTTTATAAGCAAAATGAAAAACTGTTTTCTGTCGTGCCTTCAGACGGGCGACCTCTTAAAACGTTTCTGAAGCTGAGTTGTTGTCGCGTGATCTTCCTCCTATTTCGGTCGGGTTTTTTTTAAATTTTGGTTCATAGTTTATAATTTCTTTTAATCTTTTTTATTTCCTTAATCTCCTCAACAAGCATGGCAAGTGCACGACACAGTTAACATTGCATAATTTAATCGGTTAAGAATCTAAATAAAATGTAATTGACAATAAAATATATTACCTAAGAGGAGATAACCTAATAATTATAGTGCAAGTATGTATGTTCAAATGAATTGATGCAGCCAAGTATATTTAACTTTCAATTTGCAACTAAAACAAATATCTTAATAGACTTCGGTAGGGTTCAACTTTTAAGAGGAGAGGTTAGGAAGACGACTTCCGTGTTTTGATTTTTTTCTCAAAAAATTTCCTTCCGACTGGATTTTAAACTAAATAAGTGTTTCCTTATCAGCTTATCAGCACTATCCTTAAAATATAAATTTAAAATCTAAGGAAAAATTAGTATTATTATTGGATATCTTTAAGCAGTGACATTTACTTGTAAAGGAGCAGGAAATATGTTTGCGTTGCACTCTGTCGTTAACTTGAATGATGTAATAAATAATGCATAAGTGCACTTCCCTGATAAGAACAATACCCCACTCTCCCAACCACCCTTTACACACACAAAAAGGACAACAGCACGAAATTCATTGTCCTCACCGTAGTAATCATTATCGTAATTCCGATCGACAAGACGTATTAAATTAGAATTAAAAGCACGATGTATTTTCAAACGCAGTGTAAAACTTACAAACATAACTGAATGACTTATTCTCATTTTGTCTTAGTTTAAATATTGAGGTTGCAAAAATTTAACGAATGAGGGGGACAAAATTCTTAAATATTGTAGTATTGCATTCAACCTTTAAAAAATCGGAATCGAGTTTTATGTTTTTCTTTAATTTTTTTCAACGATATAGCAATTAAAAATACATTGCGTGTAGTTAATTTATAATTTTTTAAACCAGAACATCAATATTTTAAGTTTTCTTTAGCTTAGTACAATTCCTAATTCACCTTTTTACCTGCAATATCAGTTAAGCGAAAAGGTTACACGCCACATGTAATAAAATACCATATTGTTACATTATGATAGATTTTACTATTTCTAATGTGTTATGTAGTTGTATGTTGATCATAAAAACTTCTTTTTCAGACCTGATATACAAGTCAAGCATTAAACAAGAAGACTATGTAACAGATATAGAAATATTAGATTCGTGTGCTAAAAAGGTATCTCAGTATATATGTTTAGCATCATTAACGAACCACTAGGGGCTCCGAGTTTGGAGACCTCCAATTTCTGCTGAAAACTTTTTTAAATTGCTTAAAAATCGACAAAAATTAGAAGGAACCCTTTTTAACAAATTTCTTTGTCCGTGTCTTTAGGTCTGCTAAAACTCCAAAGCATTGGAGTTCTAGTATTTTAAGTTTCAGTTCTATGCAGTGAATATAGGAAATATCCAATGTCGTTAACACCAAATACTTTCAAAATTTAAATATCTCATGGTGAAGATTCACTTAGCGCACTTGACAAAGCTATAAACAAAGGAGCAGTATTATTGCCGTTCTTCTTATCCAAATCACAGTAAAAAGACCTTCAATTATGAGCAAACGCCAATACCTTGTTGCAAGCTCAAGACAGCTACTAGCACCAGTTTTGGCAAAATTATTTGGTAGCTGTCGATCACGATACAGTAATGCATTTAAAAGACAGTTTTTGGGGACTATCAACAAATTATAAACTATAAAGAGGAAAAAATGTCATTAGTTGCCCGACAATCTCACTGCAAAATACAGAAAAAATACAATTAATGTTTCCTAAAAATATGGAATTATAAGGATAACACCTGTTGTAAACAAATAGAACACCTGTCACATTCCTTGTTTTCTACTTGAACTTTCCTGGAGAGATCGATTAAATAAACCATATTTTTAGTTAGGGTACCTGGAAAACTTTAACTCCCCACGTTTTGTTTATACCAAGCCAGGACCAATAACCGCAAAAACAGTGCCTCTTCAAACCTCCCAAATTTTTAACAGTGACTGAAAGTACAATTAATGTGACATATGTCACAATAAACTTAGCCGAATCCCATAAGCAAAGAAGTTTGTTGACCTTATTTGATCAAGGATTAAAATGTAAATGACCCACAGAGAGAAACTCTGACATAACACTGACCCTAAAAGGTCAATTTAAGTCAAAGCGTGTATTCTTATCCTCAAATTAACTAGTTTTATCAAATTTATTAGTTCAATATCGAGCAGATGAAAGAAATCAAAAACTTTAAATTGGACAATTAAGATCATTGGGACACAAGTTAGATTATTTGTCAACACACAGGACAAAAGTTGTAAATATACATGTAAACAAATATTTGATATTTTTGTTTATTTTAAGATCCGTGTCAAAATACTACTAGAAAACGCCATTTCCATGAAAATTTGCTTACTTCTCTGATGCAAAGTTACAATTAGCGTATATTGCTTTAACGAACATTCAGTGATAACACCTCAGCTGATAAATTTTGTGACTCGTACAAAAATATATCATTGTAACATTGAACATCGAAAGTTTTAGCAGGTCTTTTTTAGAAGCGTTTTTTTGTAGACCTTTAGTTTTTATATATCTTAGGCTTGAAAAAAATCAGCCTTTCTTTGTCTAACAACGCTTCTGATCAGTGCCAATTTGATCGCATTATTACATTCATTTAAGAATAAAATGCATTTTGAAGTTTTATTGGGATGTAAAAGCATAAACCGAAGCTTAATTTGTAGGAAGCGCTTTATACTTAAAATGTTCACACGGTCAACGCTTTTACAACTCAATAAAAGATCATAACACTAATAAAAGAAGCACTCAACGCAATTCTTATACTTATGAGTTAAATCAAGCTTTTAGTTTGATTTGTTTTAAATATTCCTATGTACTGTTGTGGTGTTGTCCTGAGAGCACGAGTAACCATGGTGTTGGGTTTTATTGGGGAATAAAACATCCCTTTTTAACATCACATTATTGTTTTCTGCCAATCAAAATAATGGGATCTTTATGAATTATCTATTTGTATAGTATTTATTGTAAGTTAAATACTAAGATAAATCTAATAGATATAAGAAGATGTGGTATGAGTGCCAATGAGACAACTCTCCATCCAAGTCAAAATTTATAAAAGTAAACCATTATAGGTCACAGTACGGTCTTCAACACGGAGCCTTTGCTCACACCGAACAGTAAGCTATAAAGGGTCCCAAAAAAATACTAGTGTAAAACCATTCAAACGGGAAAACCAACGGTCTAATCTATATTCTAATGTCTACTTATTCCAGCCCTGGCCTCAGTGACTTATTTTCAATTTTGTTTTGTCACTGACAGCAACAACAAAAAATTGAAAATAAGTCACTGAGGCCAGGGCTGGACTAATGTCTACTAGAATCAAGAATACCATTAATTTTCTTTTGTACTAACAAACAAAAAATCTTATGGAGCATGTAATATAACACACAGAAAAAGAAAGAAAACTAACATTTTTCTCATTGTTGAAGGCCGTACGGTTGCCTATGATTGCTTAGATCCACTTCATTTTAACTTGGGTGGATAGTTGTCTTATTGACAATCATACCACATCTCCTTATTTTTTATACTAAAATAATACTTTAAAACAATTTATTTCCCCAGAAGTGTAATCATATAGGTAAAATAAGTCCCCAAAACAAGAATGTCCTCTGTAAATATAAAAATATATATGTGATATGATTGAAAGTGAGACAACTCTCTATACCAAAGACCGAATGACACAGAGTTCACAACTTAAGGTCATCGTACGGCCTTCAACAATGAGCAAAACCCATACCGCATAATCAGCTATAAAAGGCCCCGAAATGACAAATGACACTTTAAACGATAAAACTAACGGCCTGATTACTGATTAGTATATACAAAAGAATTAACAAAACAAAAATATGATATACAGCATCAAACGACAATCACTGAATTACAACTAACTATAAAGATTAATTGAAATGGACTAATTCATCAAAATATTTTATCTTTCAGAATACATCCATCGCACCAGGAGATAGCGTGATAACATGGACAGATTCCTTTATTGTGGTATATGATATATGCGTTCACTCCTCGTTTGAACAAGCCATTAAAATTCTGGATATTATAAACAAAGCTCGGGCAAGTGTATACTGTCCAGCTCTTTTGCTAGGCAATAAAACAGACTTAGAACACAGGCGGACAGTTGGTGTCGAGGAGGGACACCAGGCGGCGCTAGAATACAATTGCCAGTACTATGAAGTGTCGGCTGCTGACGACTTTGTGACGATTAGCATTGCGTTTCAAGCGCTTTTACGAGAGACAAAAATTATTCAACAGAATAAGCCTTTATTGAAAAGGCGGAAAAGTTCTTTAGTGAATGTATCAAAGAAATTAGGTGCAATGTTTGGTAAGAAGGACAGCGAAATGGATCGCAAACGTTCCACGTGTGATGTAGCAGGGCCAAAAACTATTTTTGAAAAAGCGTAAATAATCGTCCATGCAATCACAATATAATTACGCCACTTGTGTTTTCCTTTTCTTTTTAGGGCTGTTTTTATTTTTTACTTAATTTTTCAGTCGTTTTAAAAAAAACTGAATCAAACGAAAATTCTGTCATTAATTATTTATAAAACACAACGAACTTTAATCAAAAGTGCTAATAAAACGATTTAGGGTAAAACCTGATCATATGTTCTATTTTTGTTTTATAATTTGCAAAAACAAAAGTTGATTTTATGTAGTTTATTAGTTATATCTAATTTATTTGAAAAGATATCATTTGTATCACTGGCACTTGTCTCTGAAAAAAAAAGTTACTTATGTCAAGAATTTATATAATAAGACCTACTAAACAAATATACAAATCCTTGCTTATATACCCTAATGTTATATTAAGTTATAATAATTTTTTTTAAAGAAACGTGTCTGTGATTTTTGTACCTTGGTAAAAAAAAAGCAGAATTGACACAAGTTATTGTCTCTTTTAGATAATACTGGAGGTGATGAAATGCAGTTTCTTATAGATTGCAAATGATAAATTATCACCGTAAGAATACAGTACAAAATTAAGTTTTGATGAGCTGACATCAAGTAAAAAAGTGTCACTCGTTTTACACATTCGCACACCATCTAAAGTAAATGCATTTTTATAGTTTCTTATTTTTTTCCCGCAATTAAGTACTGAGGACAGGGGATTTCAAAATCTTCATGCACATTTATACTTGCACATATTAACAAGTTTTGTTGAGTGTTGATTTGTATTTTTTATATTATTAAGTTTGAATGACAATAAAGGTTTTACATGATCAGGTTGCATTTGATTTAAATTGCATTACATTAGCATGCAGATGCTCTATGGCTTAAAATGGAAGTATTTCTTATTAATTTGTCTAATTTGACTATATTAATTTGAGGTAGAGATGCTTTGTGTTTAGTTTAGATCATAACAGTTCATGAATGTTCAATGGATTGTGGCGTATTAATTTATGACACATAAGCCATATGCGCACAGGACAGAACCACTGACATAAGCAGAGAAAAAAGGATGCTGCTTTTCATCTCACAGTCACAATAAGGGCTTCAACACAGGGTAATTTAAGCTCACACCTCATGCACTGCAAGTTTGCGCTTTTCTGGATTTACCTTCATCAGAACATTAATTTTGAAGGCATTAACGTATAAGAAAACTTAAACTTAACATCAAAACATAAAATGCAACAAAAAAAAAAAAAAAAAAAAAAAAAAAGGTCGTGGAATCATCTGTGAATAATGAAATTTTCAAAACAAGTACTGTCTTATAAGTTGATGTTTTCGTTAGATAAATGTCTGTATGTTCATTTGATATTACATATATAACCATAGATAATCGTACCTTCAAACATGCTAGTACGTATAGCTCGTATTGAAAAACGTAAATTAAAAAAAATAAAGAATTGCGGTACAATTTCATGACGCTTATTTCGACGTTTTGGGATATCTTTTCCCAAATAGCTGAACTTGAATGATGTATATAAGCCTATAGTTATGTAACACTATTACATTATGGCATTAAAGATCATGCAGCAACCTACGACGATCTCAATAACAACCACTGGAAAACTTTCTTAATTTGGGTCAGGCACTTAAAGAATGTTATTTTCATCTTACAAAAAAAATCTTTAAAAAAGACCGTTTAAAGTCACCGAATTCGTGACCTTTAGTACATATAACTACCAGCTAATGTATGAATCTGTAGTATACAAAGTGTCAGATTTATAATGTACTCAAACAGGTTTCCGTTTAAGATGATTTAATAAGAAAACTAAATTTACATTCAACTTCGGATTGTATATTTTGTCCCCTGCTTAGTGTTTAAAACAAATAAAAATTGCAAAATAACAAGAACGAAAACAAATGTTTGAATACCCATAAACTATTATATTATTTTGAAATTTTAAATGGCGACACTATATTAACAGTTACTTTTTCTCATGATAGTTTGTTCATGGGCCTTTGGAATCTATTTGTGCAATGATTAACAATATTGGCATGTATATTTAAACGGGTACAACCAATAGAATCAACCGTTTGATATACACAGTATATGTCAGCTCAATGTATGTCTACCAAATTTAATTTAACTCTCAAATTTGAAAAAAAAATATATACATAAAACGTAATTCAGAATTACAAAAGTTCGACCGATAACAATACACAATGTCTGGAAAGATAACAATACACAATGTCTGGAAAGATAACAATACACACAATACACAATGTCTGGAAAGATAACAATACACAATGTCTAGAAAGATAACAATACACAATGCCTGGAAAGATAACAATACACAATGTCTGGAATCATTATAAAGTGTCAACTTTTCGTGTGTATTCCTAACTGGACACCATCTGTATCGAAGTGACAACCCCCAGCCCCCAAACGGAGAAAAAAACTTGTCGATGGAAATATGATCCCGTTGTAATTATATATATTTATTAATTGATTTGGGGTGTTTCACGCCATTTTTAGCACTTTTGGATATATCATGGCGATCAGTTTTCATTGGTTGATGAAACCGAAGTACCAATAGAGAACCACCGACCTACGGCAATGAAACTGACAATCCTAATCATTTAAGATTGGAGTCAAAAGCACCTGCCACGTGCTGGGTTCAAACTAACAACCTCAGTGATACATAGTTTTTAAAACTTTGCATTGTTCGAAACACTAAGGATTTTCTGTCCAAGAAATAGTTTACCGTATCTTAGCTGTATTTGGTAAAACATTTCTGAATTTTTGGTCATAAATGCACTTCAACTTTATTAGTACTTTATTTGACCTTTTTGAGTATTTTGTAGATGAAAAAAACAGCGTTTGGCGTACAAAAGTATAAGCCTGGCATCTTTGGTGAGTTTTATCTATACCATTCGGTCACCGAGTACTCTTAATCATAAATATAACACCGACAATAAAATTAAGAATGGAAACGGCGAATGCGTCAAAGAGACAACAACCTGACCAAAGCAGCCCAAGACCACAAATGACCGGTCTTCAACACAAGCACACATAAAATACAAACTTATGACAGTTTAGTACATGTAGCTCTATAAGATATATTTACTTAGATCTGTTTTATCTCATTTCATAGATAAACACATATAGATTAAATGCAAATAATTTACTCATATAACCTGTATCACTTCAGACTGCCGTTTTTGCTGTCGAATCATAGGCACTTGTCTCTGAGTTCCCCCTTTATATACCTTAAAGTGTTACATCAAGGTATATAGGTGGGGGGGGGGGATATGGGGAATTCAGAGACAAGTGCCTGTGGGTCGAGTCTATCATCGAGATAGGTCTTCTGTTGCCTTCCCTAGCATCACATTTTCAGCTGACATTCGTTTCATCAGTGCGACATGCTGGACACAAGAACAACCCATCTCCAACCAAGGTTAAATCATAGGTCGCATGAATACGGATTTATAAGAGGTGGATTATTTCACTTGAATGCAAAACAATAATGCATAAGTGATTTTTTTTTAGCTTATTTTGACAAAATTGAACCAGAGTGACTGCTAATAGCGAAATATGATTTCAGTATTACGTTTCTATAAGTGTTTGAAACAAATAAAATCTTATTTTAGTTTTATCTTAATTAGTAGTAAATGCTTTAAAAAAAAACCCTTAGTGCAATACGTGAAAGAGAGGCGAAAGATACCAAAGGGACATTCAAACTCATAAGTCGAAAATAAACTGACAACGCCATGGCTAAAAAAGAAAAAAGACCAACAGACAAACGATAGTACACAACACACAACATATAGAAAAATTAAGACTGAGCAACACGAACCCCACTAAAAACTGGGGGTGATCTCTGGTGCTCCGGAAGGGTAAGCAGATCCTGCTCCACGTGTGGCACCCGTCGTGTTGCTCATGTAAAACCGGTAATAAGTCTAATTAGAATAGTATAAGGCATTTGATTCCTTCGCCCTTTTCACAAGTAACTTAATGACAGGTTGAAAGAATAAGCCCAAATAAAAGTTTTAAAAATAATAGCCAATACAGATACAAATATAATTTGTTCTGATTTTAACAAAAATGTTCTCTGGAAATGAAACGGATTCGTCAATTTAAGGTGCTCCCTTTTTTGCTGACCATATGTTCGTCAGGTTTGGTAGACGTGTTATACACCGTTGGGAACTTTTCTTATATAATATTTTATCCTGTGTGAAGGAAATTTTCTTATAGCATTGGATAAAATATTAATTAGGAAAGCTCCCAATGGAACTTTTGTTATATGATAAAAGTTCCTTGGGACAAATATTATGGGGGAACTTATATTCTGTCACATCGCTTTCCGCCGACTTGTTCCTATGTACCTACAAGAAAAAAATTAGTATAGAACTTCTAAAAAAGAAGGCGTGGTTGATGAATTCTGGATTTTTTCTAACAGTGTGTCCAATGGTCATTACCGTGTTACTGTATTAAATGACTCTGAAACGCCCACTAACTATTGTGTATTGAAAGCAAAAGAACCATTTACGATTCTATCCGAATAGCAAAAATTCTCAAATTCTTCAGAACAGTTGTTAATCAAGAATGAAAGGGTTAATTAATTACCTAACGGGTCAAGAATTAAAATAGTTAATGCCGCAAAGACACAACAGGACTCGCGGCGGTTAACAAAAATATGATATCCTCTCAGAGTAAACTTTTAGTCATGAGTTGCGACCTTCTCAGTTGCGACTGGATTGTCTGTTTGGGAACTAAGGGACCATCTTCTACGAGAAAATTACATCAGGGCTTGTATATATGACTAATTGCGATCTTATTTTTTTTTATAGTTTTGCCTGTTATAGGTTAATATTTTTAACAACTTCCGTGACTACCGACGCCAAGCATGATATATATTTATATAAAAGATGAAATAAATACACATTTCTATGAATCCGTGTTTTTTTTATATATATATATTAGTGCTAACTTCGTAGTCACGGTCGTAGGTAGACTAAAAATTGGGGAGGGCGGAGACTTATAAAAGTGACAATAAAAAAAAAAAAACGTCTGTAGTCTAAAAGTCTAGTAGTTTTTCAGTGTCCTCAGTCACTTTCATTTTTTTTTTTATTTGCAATAAATCTTTTTGGGCCAAAAAAGTAGCGGGAGAAACCATAGTTTTTCTCCTCCCCCACTTTTTAAATTGGGCAAAATGTTTAATATCCTTCGTCCCTCCTCGCCCCTGGTATCGGGTCCGTTCGCCCTAGTTACATGTTCGCCCTGTGTCCGTTCGCCCTGGGTTCGTTCGCCCTACTTTACAACAAAATTAATATAGCGGTAATAAGGTTTAATAAACATATTCAGATATTTATATGATCAATATTACAGAAAATATATATTCCCGAAATTATGAAAAAACATGGAAATATTTAAAAATTAATGGCTTGTTTTGGAGCATTAATGGGCTTCATTCTTAAAGTAACATTTTTTAAAAAGTAAACTAGTCAGCTTGGAATGAGTAAAAACAACGATGTACGAATTGTAAGACATAATAGGGATTTTTGATTCGCACACAGCTTGGGTTCTATGATCTCAAGTTCATTTTGACACATTTCCTATCATGATAAAAAAATGTGTGCTCTTTAAAATAATAGTGTAAATAATTAAGGACATAACTGGTTTGTGATGCGAAGTTCGAATTGGAATTTGTTATGACTGTTAATGATTGTTCTGAAATTGTCAACATTTATCAATAAAGATGAATACATGCAGATAACATATGGTCTTCAGTTGTTTTATATCAAATACCTTGTATTCCTTGTACTCTACAGTGCAGATCAAAGGAAAATAAATTTTTGGTAGCAGCAATACAACATAAGTATTCAGCGAAATTTTCAACAAACTTTAACATAATCTTTTCAAATAATAATATACAACACTGAAGACAACAAAATAAAAAAAACAAGAGCGAACGGACTCAGGGCGAACAGGTATTAGGGCGAACAGGTACTAGGGCGAACAAGAATCGGGGCGAACGGACCCGGATTCCTCATCCCTACGCCCCTGCTTTACTACACTCTTAAAACAAGGATTTGTATAGTATACAAATCCTTGCTTAAAATACTGAAATAAATCCGCGATTTATTCATATCCGGTCCGATGATTTTTGCTATTAGAATCGCCCTACCCAAAAGCTTCCGGTTTTGATTTACGCTGAAAAAAATGACAAAGTGAAGGCCAGCTTACCAAAATGTCAACAATAAACTATAGCAAGTGGGATCACATTGAGGTAACATTGTAAATATTTATATAAATATTTATATAACATACGAGCAAATCTAGAAATTATAAATAAAATAAACAAACAGACTCATGTTTCATCTTTTTTGTTGCTGAAAATTATGCCGAGCATGGCCATGGCCATAACATAAAAAACCGAAAGAGACACAAAGGAAAACCCAATAACAATCATTTTATCAATATTTCTTTGTTAATTTGGTTATATTGTACATGTTCAAACGATCTACACCTAAATGCATATGTAATGCTTTGTACTGTTCTCAACAGTGGAAAGTTCTGGAAAACCCATGATTGAGTATGTATATGTATGTATGTTTTCCTTTATACTGCCTTCCTGGTGTAAGGAGGAACATTTAATCACTGTACTGGTTCAGAAATATAATGAGCATTATACCTTCCCAGTTCGTTCTCCTGCCTGTCCATAAAGAGTCTTATAACTACCACCATGACCAGAGAGTAACCCCCCCCCCCCCCCCCCCCCCAAAAAAAAAAGCCACCATCAGTTGTGGCCCATTTGAGTTCTTTTTTTATGAATAAATTATACCAGTTGAACCAATGTCACATGGGGTAAAATTGGGAATGATGACATTGAACAATAAATCCACTATTGTGACGTAATACAAAAACATGTACATTTGATCCAAATCATTTCCATTACCAGAAATACTCTTTTACTATATTCAGATTTCTCACATCATTTAAACGTTTTATTAGCTAACTGTATCCCTACATCTTTGAACTGATAAAGTAATTGTGACTGCTTGACATTTTTCAAACAACCATCTTTATTCTTATGTACATAATCCAACCCTGTCTAAAGAAATATATTAATTTATTAATTTTATCATTTAAAAAACAGTTATCGAAACAGTCATAAGGAATTTATCCCCATCATAATATTCATCTCTTAGCGCAACATACTGACAAAGGTTTTATGCCCAACAAACACACAAATGACATCAAATAAAGTCACCTAAACCAAACACTTTGACGGAAAGATAACGATTGGAATCAAGCATATTCCATAAGCATTGTGACATGGGAAAATCCAAGATTGCAATAGTTTTCTACACAATGCTCTATGCAATAAAACATACAAGCACACACACTCACCTGAATCTCTCATCCTCAAAGTATTAAATAAGGCTGGACTTCCATATCATGAAATCTCAAGTCTCATGGGATTTAAATTTAATCTACTGGTTCATTACAGTGTTAGGTACATGTACACCACCTGTCTAAAAGGACTCATATCTTGTTTGACTTACACCTGTTTATTAAATGTATGCTAAAATAGTATTTTGTCTTTTCTTTTTTCTTTTTTTTCTTCTTTAAGTTTCTAGCGATCCTTCAATTATTGAATATTATTCGCCGGGCGTCGACTATAAAATTTTATAATTTACATTGTAGCAAGAAAAATAAAAAGAAACAAAATCAAAAAATCAAAATATAATGTATGTGCATTTGAAAAATTTCATTTAGATAAAACTATATACATTTGATAACAAAATAGTTAGGGATAGAAAATGGGGATGAGAGCAGATTCTGAGATCATACTCTTGAATCCCTATACTGTCTTGATACAAGACAGGTTTGATTATTTCTAAGACTACATGGTCAATCTTACAACTGTGTTTGGTGGTTATGTTGATTGCTAGTGATTGATCTGAGGTACTAATACTCTGAAATACAATTAAAAAAAAGGACATGTGGGGTATAAGTCAATGAGACAGCAACCCAATTACATTTCTTACAAGTTGTGTCTTAATATAATTTATTTCAGATCTCTGATGATGAAGATGACACTCATCCAAACATTGACACTCCAAGTCTCTTCAGATGGCGTCACCAGGCACGTCTTGAAAGAATGGAACAACAGAAGAAAGAAAAGGAAGATTTAAGTAAAGGATTGACAGAGTAGGTTAAGTTTTTGTCTCATCTGTCAGAAAAATCAAGGAAGCAAGACTTTGGCATGCTGTTGTCTGCATCAGCAGCATAAAAAATTGTTAAAGTTTTTGATATTAAAAGCGACACAGGCTAGCTAGACAGACTGGTATCTCTGTGTTAACAGTGTGCATGTTAAAATTGCATACATTAGCATGGATTTGTAAGGGAGTTATCTTTCTCTTAAAAAGAGAAATACTTGTTGCATATTTATAAAAGCGATGTGGGGTATAAATTAATTAGACAACTACCCAATGACAGTTGACTTAAAAATCCAAAAGAAATCTATGAAATTGTTTTATTTTCAGAACACATAAAATGAATTTCAGCAGAAAATAAAATCAGTTTCATTTCATTTTTTTTCACTGTGAAACAAAAAGGGCAGGCCCTTTTGCCATGTATGCCAATGAAGTTTTTGTAATCATCAAAATGTCTGACGTTGAGAAAATATTTCTTTATTATATTTTATAATTAAAGAATCAAACGTTACACTTCTAATGCTATACATGCTATATGTCTATTCATTGTATTGCTTTTTACATTGTACATATAGTTTTAAGATTTATTGTTAAAATACAGTCATGACTAACAATTAATTTAATATAACCTTTATCATGTTTATGAATGTTCATTGTTAATTTAGAGCAGTTTTAAAAACCATTTAACATTAACAAATAAATTGAGATTTGTTATATTAAAATGAAAAACCGTTTCATAGAACTTTTTGTGTGTGTATTTGTTTTCAAGACAACTATACCTCATATCCTAGAGACCATATTCAGTGGCGGGTCCAGGTGAGGGCGTAATGGGCGTACGCCCCCCCCTCTTTTCTAAAAAAAAAAACAAAAAAACTATCGTAATCTGCTAATATTGTTACATTAGTGCATTTCTCAATTATTTTATTTTTTTTAGCAAAAAAAAGGTCCAAAAAAATTTTCGCCTCTTTCCACTCGGCCAAAGATTTGATTCTACGCCCCCTCTTTCAAATATCCTATAAACGCCCCTGATATTACCTTATTTCATATTCTTTCTAAAAATACAATAATCATATATATATTCTTATTTTTGTAGCTTTCAGCAGAAAAAAGTAGAAATTCAACAGAAACTGAAAGAAGCAGAAAAAGTAAGAATTACAAAAAAGAAAGGCATTTTTCCGTGTTTATTATGTGGTTGCATATATTATGTTACTTTGAATATTTTCATTAGTGCTATAATAATGAGATTTGGTATGATTGCAGATTAGTCAAATATCCACTACAGACCACATGACATTGATGTAAGCAACTATTGGTCACTGTATTGCCTTCAACAATGAGCAAACGTCCATACTGTACATAACTTTAAAAAGGCCATAGCATGACAAAATGTGTAAAGCCTGATTTATGCTTAAACAATAAACAAAAAAGCAAATATGACAAACAGCAATAAACTACAGCCACTGAATTACTGGTGCCGGACTTGGGCCAGGCACATATAGAATTAGGGGCCTTAAGAATGGCTTAAGTTTTTCATCTATATTGATTGCTAGCTGTCAACACTGAGTTTGTGAGTTCAAATTCTGCTTGTGGCAGGTGCTTTTGACTCCTTATCTAAAGCCTGAGAATGCCACTTTTCTTACCGAAGGTGGATGGTTCTCTGCGGATACTGGGGCTTCCTCCACCAATAAAAACCAGCTGCCACGATTTAACAAACATGCTTAGAGTGGCATTAAAACACTAACAATCAATAGAAAGATGCAGCACACTAAAATGCATGCTATTTGACAATGTGTTTCTTAGAAGATGAATGTAATATCACCATGACACACTGTTCTGACTAAGTGACAGATTGAATTTAATCAATGCTTTACATGTATGAACTAGCTGATGTGATCCTCAATTCTGCTTGTAATAAAAGATTTAATTAAATATTTAAATGGTTTTCCTAACACTAGAAAAATCTTGGAATTATATGTACATGATGTATAATGTAATATGTACCTTCACTATTTATTTAGCTGAAAATGCTTTTTATTGTTCTGATAGAACCAATTACCAGATATAAATACATTAAAACTTGAGATGAAAGAAATAGAACAACAGGAAGCAGATTGGCGAGCTAAAGAAGAAGAACTGAAGAAAAAAGAGAAGGTACTTACTTTAATTAAGAGTTTAATGTTTCTTTTTGTAATTTTATTTGGGTGTAAAAGCTTTGACCAAAGCACCAAAAACATGTGTGCACAATCAACACTTTTAAAATCCTATATTTCATATTACAAAAGGAACCATTCAAATCTTGTAATTACAATTATATGCTTTGCATTATTGTCATGGAAAGCATGTGCAGTCATGAATGTTTAATTTCAAGTATAGATTCTTATGAAACATACATGTAATGGAATTACTGCAGTGTAATTTTTTTGGTAAAATTTGGTCAAACTCACAAATTTGGTTGATTAAATTTTGTTTTCTTAATGTCCAGTGTCTAATATTTCATGCATATTAAGGATGAGCACAAATGAACAATTAGTACAATAGGTAGGCACTGTACTGGCCTATAGGATTTGTTTTGTCTGCCATTGGAAATGAGGGTATGTTGGATAGAGTCCGAAATTTTGCCTTGCAATAGGTCAACAAAAGACCCCCTTAAACATTTGTTGCAAAGGTCATTTAGAGAATTTAGAGAGTGTGGCTCTCTCTCTAAATGAGGCATCATATTTAATGTTTGCATCCTGATGTGGCTACCTATTTTCACATCCCACACAGCCGAACCGGTGGCCAACTTTAGTCAAGGTTTTACTGCCTGACAGGAGAAGTCCAAGGGATGACCAATATCTATATCTCAGTCAATTCTTCTTGAATTGCAGTGGTTGATTCATTAAAAAGTCAGTCTTATTATGTTGATTTTTTACAAAGAATGCTGATGATTATTGGTGTTTATATTTTCAATCTCTCTCTATCTCTCTCCTCAAAAGTTTACATTTAAGTAACTAGAGTTATACCCCTTTACATATATTATGGTAAAAGTAGTTCTAATTATTCATAAGTTACAATTTTTTTCGAGCCTGCGACTTTTGTCGTAGAAAGCTCGACATAGGGATATTGATCCGACGGCGGCGTTAGCTAACTTCTTAAAAACTTTATATTTTAGAAGGTGGAAGACCTGGATGCTTCATACTTTGTATATGGATGCCTCATGCTACGAAGTTTCCATCAGTCACATGTCCAATGTCCTTGACCTCATTTTCAGGGTTCAGTGACTACTTGAAAAAAAAGTTAACATTTTTTGTAATGTTAAATTCTCTCTTATTATAAGTAGTAGGATAACTATATTTGGTATGTGCGTACCTTGCAAGGTCTTCAGGCCCGTCAGACAGTTTTCACTTGACCTCGACCTCATTTCATGGTTAAGTTTTGGTGGTCAAGTCCATATCTTAGATACTATAAGCAATAGGTCTAGTATATTCGGTGTATGGAAGGACTGTAAGGTGTACATGTCCAACTGGCAGGTGTCATATGACCTTGACCTCATTTTCATGGTTCAGTGGTTATAGCTAAGTTTTTATACCACCGCAAAAAAATTTTGTGGTCGTATATTGGTATGACGTTGGCGTCGTCGTCGTCCGGCGTCGACGTCTCCGGCGTCGTCCTCCGAAGACACATTGGTTTTCGCACTCTAACTTTAGTTTAAGTGAATGGATCTTTTTGAAATTTGACCATAAGGTTAAATACCACAAAAGGAAGGTTGGGATTGATTTTGGGGGTTATGGTACCAACAGTTTAGGAATTAGGGGCCAAAAAGGGGCCAAAAATAAGCATTTTCTAGTTTCCAGACAATGACTGTGGAACGGTGTATGGATCTCTCTGAAATTATACTTTAAGTTTCCATACCACAAAGGGATGGTTAGGATTTGCTTAGGGGGGTTATGGCTCAAACCGTTTAGGAATTAGGGGCAAAAAAGGGGGAAAAACAAGGTTGTCCTGGTTAATGGACAAATACTTTAGTACAAAACATAATTTAAAGCAGTGTAAGGGAGATAAATCAAATACATCATTGAAATTATCTCCCTTACACTGCTTTTAAATTATGTATAAAGTAATGGTTAATGAACAATAAAGATAATTTAAAACAGTGTAAGGGAGGTAATCCAAATACAACGTTTTGGTTACTTCCCTTACTCTGCTTTTAAATTATGTTTAAAGAAATGCATATTTATAAAGGAAGACCAGTAAAAATATCTGCAAATGTTGCATCTTTTTTTTTTACAAAAAAATTCATATGAAAGATTTGACACTATATTTTTAATTCTATTATAAAATAGATTAAGTTAGCACTATGGTAAATTTAAATGGGTAATTATGGTTGCCAACTCCATTGGAAATTTGAATTGAGATTATGACCATATCTTGAGGGAAAGAATTTTTTGGGGGGGAAAAGGGGGGGGGGGATAAAAAGAAATTGTGGGGGGTCAATTTTTTTCTCATTTCAGATTTCAGAAATTAAAAAGAATTATTCTTCAAATATTTTTTTTTTTTCAAATTTCAAATATTGAAAAATTTCAAGAAGTAATCTTTAATTGCCCAGTATGGCGCATTAGATTTGTAAAATCTTTGATCACATTTATTTATTTGTTATGCCGAATCTAACAGTGTATTTAGATTTTTAATTTTGGGTCCAGTTTTCAAATTGGTCCACATTAAGGTCCAAAGGGTCCAAAATTAAACTTTGTTTGATTTTAGCAAAAATTGAATATATGAGGTTCTTTGATATGCTGAATCTAAACATGTATTTAGATTTTTGATTTTTGGCCCAGTTTTCAAGTTGGTCCAAATTGGGGTCCAAAATTAAACTTTGTTTGATTTCAACAAAAATTGAATATGTGGGGTTCTTTGATATGCTGAATCTAACCATGTATTTAGATTTTTTATTTGTGGACCCCTTTATCAAAAGGGTCCAAAATTAAACTTTGTTTGATTTCATCTAAAATTGAATTATTGAGGTTCTTTGATATTCCAAATCTAACCGAGTATTTAGATTTTTAATTTTGGGTCCTGTTTTTTTAATTGGTCTACATTACGGTCCAAAGGGTCCAAAATTAAACTTAGTTTGATTTTAACAAAAATTGAATTCTTGGGGTTCTTTGATATGCTGAATCTAAACATGTGTTTAGATTTTTGATTATGGGCCCAGTTTTCAAGTTGGTCCAAGATAGGGTCCAGTATTTAAACTTTGTTTCATTTCAACAAAAATTGAATATATGAGGTTCTTTGATATGCTGAATCTAAACATATATTTAGATTTTTGATTATGGGCCCAGTTTTTAAGTTGGTCCAAATTGGGGTCCAAAATTAAACTTTGTTTGATTTGAACAAAAATTGAATATATGAGGTTCTTTGATATGCTGAATCTAACCATGTATTTAGATTTTTTATTTGTAGGCCCCGCTATCAAATTGGTTCATATTGAGGTCAAAAGGGTCCAAAATTAAACTTTGTTTGATTTCATCAAAAATTGAATTATTGGGGTTCTTTGATATGCCAAATCTAACCGTGTTTTTAGATTTTTAATTTGGGTCCCGTTTTTTAAATTGGTCTTCATTGAGGTCCAAAGGGTCCAAAATTAAACTTAGTTTGATTTTAACAAAAATTGAATTCTTGGGGTTCTTTGATATGCTGAATCTAAACATGTGTTTAGATTTTTGATTATGGGCCCAGTTTTCAAGTTGGTCCAAGTTTGGGTCCAAAATTAAACTTTTTTTTATTTCAACAAAAATTGAATATATTGGGTTCTTTGATATGCTGAATCTAACCATGAATTTAGATTTTTTATTTGTGGGCCCCGCTATCAAATTGGTTCATATTGAGGTCAAAAGGGTCCAAAATTAAACTTTGTTTGATTTCATCAAAAATTGAATTATTGGGGTTCTTTGATATTCCAAATCTAACCGTGTATTTAGATTTTTAATTTTAAGTCCCTTTTTTTAAATAGGTCTACATTAAGGTCCAAAGGGTCCAAAATTAAACTTAGTTTGATTTTAGCAAAAATTGAATTCTTGGGGTTCTTTGATATGCTGAATCTAAACATGTGTTTAGATTTTTGATTATGGGCCCAGTTTTCAAGTTTGTCCAAGTTGGGGTCCAAAATTAAACTTTGTTTGATTTTAACAAAAATTGAATATATGGGGTTCTTTGATATGCTGAATCTAACCATGTATTTTGATTTTGGACATTGGACCATAATAGGTAAATTAAAAAAATTCAAGTTCTTAGACCACATTCTTTCTGTGTCAGAAACCTATGCTGTGTCAAATATTTAATAACAATCTAAATTCAGAGCTGTATCAAGCTTGAATGTTGTGTCCATACTTGCCCCAACTGTTCAGGGTTCGACCTCTGCGGTCGTATCAAGCTGCGCCCCAGCGAAGCATTTTATTGTGTTTTGGTCTGTTTTTCTTATACTGTATGCAATAGGCCTACTATATTTGGTGTATGGAATGATTGTAAGGTGTACATGTCTAGCTGGCAGGTGTCATCTGACCTTGACCTCGTTTTCATGGTTCAGTGGTCAAAGTTAAGTTTTTTGAGTTTTGGTCTTTTTTTCTAATACTATATGCCATAGGTCAACTATATTTGGTGTATGGAAATATTTTATGATCTATATGTCAGTCACGCAGGTTTTATATTACCTTGACCTCATTTTCACGGTTCATTGATCAGTGTTAAGTTTTTGTGTTTTGGTCTGTTTTTCTTAAACTATAAGCAATAGGTCAACTATATTTGTTATATGGAAGAATTGTTAACTGTACATGTCTGCCTGGCACGGTTCATCTGACCTTGACCTCATTTTCATGGTTCATTGGTCAATGTTTAGTTTTCTTGGTTAATGTTAAGTTTATGTGACAGTTGTAATAAAGCTTTATATTTAGGACTATCAACATATATATCAATGATTAGTAAAGAAGGCGAGACATTTCAGTGTGTGCACTCTTGTTAAAACTTGTTTTAGAAATAAAAAATCCTCTTGAAATCATGTTTTCAAACTCGATTTAAGACCAAAATCCATAATGAAAAAAATGTATGTTGTATAGTACAATCAAGGTGATTAAGTTAAAAATCACTTTTATTGATGAATTTTCTACAGTGACTGATTGTGGGTGATTAAACTATTATTTGTTACCAAGGTTGCAATGAATTATCATGATTTCCCAGTGGAATTTAAACAGATTATTTCACATGTGAAATAACTCCGATAATTTCACTCCTGTGATGTCGCACAAAATTGGGTGTTGTCGATGATGTTGCATCAAAACGATTTGAAAATGCATGGAAAAAGATATAGATTTTATATTTTCTACTTTAATTCTATTAAGAACCACACGTTCAATGTAATGAAAACAATAATTCATCAAAGAATTCAAATATCAAAAAAATATTCAACTTATGACTGAACAACACTGATAGTTAACTTTTTAATTGCCTTGCATGCATTTGTGAATGAATGTGTTGTTCGGTTACTCCTTTAAAGGGGCAATAGCTGTCAAATTCTTGTTCACCAATTTGATTCAAATTCTCATATTCGACATATAACATACTAAAATGAATATCCAAATAAAAAAAAAAGTCTAAAATAAACAATTAACGATGCATAAACACGAAATTATGTATCAGCATTTCGTGTGTATTTTAGTCTAGATGCCATTTAATGAACCATTGAGGTGACCTTCCGTAGACTGCCGACAGTTATATAACCTGTTTTAAACATGAACATAGATATAAACATGATAAATAGATAGCGAACTCGTGCAATTGGATTTTCTAGGTCTGTTTGATTTCATATTATAGGTTAAAACAATATATTAATAATCGTTTTTACCTGTATAAGAATGAGTTTTTGTAGATCGAATCAGTCAATCAAATGGTTTACCCTTGTTTCACTTTCAATGTTGTCATTCTTTTCCTTTTGCCAGCTGAACACGCCTAGTTCATGCATAACCCATCTCTAGCTAAGAGGTTCAATTAAGGTTCACATGAATACAGAATTAATGAGGTTGAATTATTCACTTGCAAGTGAATAATTCATTAGCAATGTTTCTGTGCTTATTTTGACAAAACTGAACCAAACTGGCTGCTTAAAGTGAATTTTTATTTCACTATTTCACTTTCATTAATGATTGGACAAAAATAATCACATTTTATTTTTTTCTTTATCTCGTAGCTAGTGCCCCTTTAATATTTTTTCATATTTAAATTCTTGTATTAGTTATTCTATAAATATCTTATAAACTCCATTGATATTAAATGACATATTTATAACCAGCAATCTTCATGTTTCTGAGAGGTTCAGTCAACATCAGCTGAGTGCTTTTTAACTGATTGAGTCTATGTATACTGTAAAGTATTTTAAATAATTCTGATGTAAATAGGAGGAAATGCTTTAGAAAAGACAATAGAAAAATATAGCCTCCCTGATCACCTGAGTTAGCACTGTGGTTCTGGTCACTCAATTTCTATTTTTTTTTTGCATTTTTATACGACCGCAAAAAATTATAAGCGTCGTATAATGCTATGGTGTCGTCGTTGGTGTTGTCCGAAGACACATTTTAAGTGAATGGATCTCTAAGAAATGTTACCAGAAGGTTCAATACCACAAAATTAAGGTTGGGATTGATTTTGGGGGTTATGGTACCAACAGTTTAGGGATTAGGGGCCAAAAAGGGGCCAAAAACAAGCATTTTTGTAGTTTCCAGACAATAACTTGTGTGTGAGTGTATAGATCTCTCAGAAATTGTACCACAAGGTTCCATATCACAAAGGGAAGGCTGGGATTTAGTTTTGGGGTAATTGCCCCAAAGGTTCAGGAATTAGGGGCAAAAAAGGGGCCAAAAACAAGCATTTTTATAGTTTCCAGAGAGTAACTTTTGTTTAAGTGTATGGATCTCTCTAAAATTGTACTTCAAGGTTCCAAATCATTTCAAAAAGTTTGGGGGGATTATTTTTTCCGATTTTTTTGGGGGGTTCATATTTTTTTTCTTCAAAATTTTTGAAATTTCAAATGATTGCACCGTATTGCACAATAGCAAGAAATCTTCAATTGCACAGTATTGCGCAACAGCACAGATGAAATCTTCTTACTGTGTAATTAAACAAGGGAAAACCTTCTTATGACTGATTGCCACGTGAAATCTTCTTACTGTGTAATTAAACAAGGGAAAACTGATTTGGTATATAGTTCTAATAACTTAGATAGCAGCATAAATATGTTTTTCTTTTGTTTAGAACATATTATTTTTTACATTTAATTGTCAGGGGACTTACTTAAATGAGTGATTTTCTAAATCACTGATTCAAGTAACATTATGTCCATGAAGGTGGGAAGTAAGAGTTGTCTTTCTTTAATAATCACCTATTTAAGTAGTACAAATTAATCACTAGACTAAGTGATTTAATTTTATTGTAGCTTTAAATATAGAATACTAATGATCCAGGGACTAATTATGTTGCTAAAATTATCAGAACCAACATCTGTGTTGATAGGATGACCGGGTCATGTCAGGTGATGACCTTGTACTAAATCTAGGATAATGACATAAAAATCACTTGTTTTAGTAACATACCTCAATTTCCTTCCAAAAAATCACTTCTTTAAGTATCATTATTTTAATAACCCCCCACTAATTTCAACAGCCCCGAACAGTGAAATTTGATCGCAAATAGTAGAATTTTATTACATAATCTATAAGATGAAACCTTGAATTATACAAGAAAAATACTCCCACTGCTGGGAAAAATCTGTTAAGAAAGTATCAGTTCATTATGTAAAGCCATTTTTATAGCATTTTTTCAACAAAAATAGAATTTGCAGCTAAATGATTGCATCAAAGGAATAAACCTTGCTGCTTAAAAGAAGCAAAAAGTTCATTTTTTTTTCAATTTTACTAATGAAAAGATATATCCAAAACCTATGTGTTTAAAATTTTGGTAAAACTATAAAATCACAATTTGTGACAAAACTTTGGATTTGCTACTTAAATAAGTATTTTAAAAATCACTTATTTCAATAAGTCCCCTGACTGATCAATTGTATAAAATAGTTAAGATGTTTCTTTCTTTTTTTTCAGTTGACTCCATTAAATATAGACACTATTTGTCATGATGGAAAATCAAAAACTGTAAGTAAAATAGAATTTTGTGTTGTTCCCTTGCCCCAAGTCCTAGTATGAAAACACAAGTTCAACCACATGATGATTTTTCCTTGTTCCTAATATTTGAAGAAGAAAAATAACCAAAACATGCAAATACAAAAAATGGACATATAGATAAATGGAAATTCGAGATAATTAATGAGACACTAAACTGCAACACGAGTTCAGCTGACATCCAGCAACACAAAAGTCACCAACAAAGGTAACAAAATGTAGCTTTACTAGTGATTGGAGTGAAGCCTATAAGACAGAAACTTGCGACCTTTAAACCAAATACATTACTATTATTCTAATGCAATACTTAAATATTCAAAATAAAACATACGAACAATCAATGAAATATTGAATGTAATTGCTCAATGTTGTTGTCAATGTCTCCAACTGTCGACTATGAAATTGACCTTGAGATGTTGGCCAATGAAAAATGGTGTCACATATCATTTTGCCCTAGAGATATAGAATACCTTTATGCTCTTTGCAGTCATGTTTGAAAACACAAAATTGTAAAAAGATTTTGTGCAGAATGATTTGACACCATATAACAATGCCATTATTTAAAAAAAGATTTGTAATGAAAAAACATTATTTCTGAAGAATGTTGACACTGTGTTATGTAATTTACAAGAAAAAAGCTGAAAATGAAGTTAGATATGCATTTAAAAATGACATATGGCAGTTGATCTTGCACTCAAAGGTTGTTAATATATCATTCCGAGAAAGTTTAACATGTTGAAAACATTTGAGTGTGTCCACACTTGTTGTGTATTTCATCATTTAATTTGTTGATTTATCTTTACAGATAATAAATAAGATTGCGCCAAAGGTAGAAGTTTTAACAGAGGAAGAAAAGGCTGAAAGACAGGTAATGGTGCTCTGGAAACATATCATACAATATCTTGGAAAATAAAATTTGTTTGTGCAAGGTTTTGAAATAGATTGAAATATGAGACTTTCCAAGGACATACAGATTATTTTTCCTGCTTATAATAAGATTAGATTTATACATAAATCATTATGCTATGTTATTAAACTTAAGATTGATATATATATATATATATATTAAGGATACAAGTTTTTGGGAAAGTTTTATTTGTGCAAGGTTTAGAAAAATAGATTGAAATGGCAACTCAGATAGGTTGGTTACATTGAAAATGTCCAGAAAAGTTAGTGGAAGGATCCAGTCAAAGATAAAAAAAATCTTTTTTTGCAAATCATGTTAGATTTACTAAGCCAATGGACAGAAGAAAGAGTACATTGTGGTGTTAACACACAAGATTTGTAGGTTAAAAAAAACAACAAAAGTAACAATTGTTAGTCATAGACAAAATAATGTATTGCTGTAAAAAAAAACCTCATTTTGCCATTGATCTTCTTGTTGCTAGCGTCTTATTGTTTTATACATGAAAAACACTGGTAATATGATGTAACCATGAGACAGTCAAAAGAATTGCAGGAAAACAAGATTTTTATTGTCTCGCCTTTTGTCGCAGTATCTGAGACATAGGGATTCCTATCCGTTGACACGACTGCTTAAACTATTTGTATAAAGCTTTATATTTCCAAAGGTTGAAGACCTGGATGCTTCATACCTTGTATGCAGAAACCGCATGTTACGAAGTTTCTGTCTGTCATATGTCCATTGTCCTTGACCTCATTTTCATGGTTGAGTGACTGCTTGAAAAAACAAATTTTAGTTTTTTGTGAATTTTTCGCTTATGAGAAGTAGAGTAACTATATTTGGTATATGGGTTCTTTGCAACTTCTACATGTCAGTCAGACAGGGATCACCTGACCTCAACCTCATTTCATAGATCAGTGATCAAGGTCAAAGTTTCATGATTAGGTCAATTTCTCTGATACTATAAGCAGTAGGTTAACTATATGTGGTGTATGGAATGATAATAAGGGGTACAAGTTAGCCTGGCAGGTTTCCCCTGACCTTGACCTTTTTCATGGTTCATTGGTCAATGTTAATTTTTTGTGTTTTGGTCTGTTTTTCAAGTACTATAAGCAATAGATCAACTATATTTGGTGTATGGAATGATTGTAAGGTGCACATGTCTGTATAGCGTGTATCATCTAATCTTGACCTCATTTTCATGATTCATTGGTTAATGATAAGTTTTTGTGTTTTGGTCTGTTTTTAAAATATTAATAGCAATAGGTCAGCTATATATGGTGCATGGACTAATTGTAAGGTGTACATGTCTTTCTGGCAGGTATTGTCTGAACTTGACCTCATTTTTATGGTTCATTGGTCAGTGTTAAGTTTTTGTTTTTTGGTTTGTTTTTCAATTACCATAATCAATTGGTCAACTATATTTGGTGTATGGAATTATTTTAAAGTGTACATGTATGTCTGTCTGACTGGATTTATACGACCTTGACCTCATTATCATCGCTCTTGAAAAATGTTAAGTTTATGTGATACTTGTTGTAAAACCTTTATTTTTAAGACTTTCAACATCAAATCAATGGTCAGTAAAACAGGCAAGACATTTCAGCATGTGCACTCTTGTTTCACATTTCAAATCCATTTTAGATGTCTTTAATGTATATCGTATTGAAGATGGAAAAATTTAAAAGCAGACAATTTTGTTGGGTTTTAATTTTGTTTAATATTTTGTGAATAAATATTTTTCAGAAAATTAAAACCATATGAACAATTAACACAAGAGAACATCTCTGTTTCTTGAAACTAAGAAAGAAAGTCTCCATAAAATTAATTGTTTATATAGATTCTTGCTATAGTGGTATGTTTCTTTCTATTCATAGCAAGAATTTGTAAAGAAGAACAAAGAAAAAGTAAAGAAGTTTGGAATGTTGAGACAGTATAAAGATAGTCAGCAATATCTTACGGATAATCCAGAGTTAGTTTGTGAAGAATCGGCAAATTATCTCGTCATCTGGTGTATTGACTTAGAAATGGAAGAGGTTAGTGTCAGGTCCCCTATCATTGTCACCTTTTTTCTTTCAAAAACTATGAAAAATAACAAGGATTTTATAAGATTTTCAAAAATTATTTTTGAATTATATGTAATGAAATTATAGAAAAGTAGTGTTAGTGAGCACCACATGGATAAAACCAGAGAATTCGAAATATCTCACAAAATAGCAAATCAAGATAAGCTAAAATCCTGAAACAAATATGATATATTTTCATAAATATATGATAAGGGAGACAACTTGTGTTTCTTTAATATACATGATTTTCATTTCAGTAAGGTAAATTTATTACTTAGATAATGTTTTGTTTTCTTTCAGAAACATGAATTAATGTCCCATGTAGCTCATCAGCTGATTGTATTGAACTTTATCTTAGAATTGGCAAAATCCATGGATATCCATCCAAGAGGATGTGTGGCACCATTCTTTAACAGGTATGTTGTGAGAACAAATTAAACCATGTGTTGTATTATTTCCATATCAATTTTTGATTTGTAAACTGTACAATAAAATGAATATATATTTTGATGTGATCACCATTTGTCTCTCAAAGCATAAAAAACTTTGAAGTTTTAGAAATACAGAAAAATAACAAAATTTGTCAAAATACTGTAAATTCATCATGAATATTTTTTGAGAAAAAAAAATTTGCACAGGTACTGCCAAAAAAATAATTGCACACAAAATTACAAATTAAAATAACTGGTTAAAACTTCAGATTTGATGATGTCCACACCTTGTGTGAATTCACTAAAACTGTCACAAAAATCTGAAGATTTCTGGTGATAGTTGCATATTTGATCACATCTTTGCTAGCCAAGGGTTACGATCCAGTTCCCTCCTCTCCACCCTTGGCATATTATGCCAACATTTGTGATTACAATGCTGCGCCATCCACCGGTGGATAAAAGTCACGCCCATTCCAACATCATCATTCTTGACCAATGGCAGCACTTGAACCCTCTTCAGTGTTGAGGTGTAAAAATGGTTGTGTCTAGTGTTTACAAATTTCGTGACGCAGGGACTGAAAATATATGTTGACATTCCAACATTTATGCGAGAAACATACCCAGGAACTTCAATTAGTTAATTTAGAACACTAAAATTGTCACCAAATATCGTTCTACGTTTTGGGGGTAAAGATTTTTGCACAGTCATCACATGGCAATTGTTTATTTACATTTTCTACATTTACACGTAATCATCTTAAAGGTGCTTTTTGATTGGATGCAGCCAGATACAACTGCGACCAATAGAAATCATTACCTTGTGTCTCCGAAATTCTATCTCAATCCGCCAAGGGTGGAGAGGAGGGGACTGGATCGTAACCCTTGGCTAGCGGAGATGATTTGATCAAGTAAATAGAGAATAATGATGTTACCATCAACTGGCTTAAATCTGATAAATTATACCAATTCAAGGAATGCAGATGAATCTGATTTCAGCATGACATGTACCAAACTGAAGAATTGCAGAGAAAAAATGTTCAAAAACTGTATTGTTGTAACACCCTTTTTAGCTCACCTGGCTCTTGTTTCTGATTTTGTTAAATTAAACTTATGCTAAGCAGTAGGCAAAAAGTGCATATTAGATGTTACAAGATGTATAGAATGAATTAGTTAGAATTCATCATGTAATTAGTTTGAGTACAAAAATAGATAATAATGGAGACAACTTATTTTTTCAATAAGAATGTTTTGTGGACTTGATTGTTGTCTTTTCATCTTTTTTTAATAAATTCTGTCAGCTTTGCTTCATCTCATGATTTTTTATTCCCCTTTTGTATCATTTGCCTCTACTTTTTTTTAATACATTTATGAAGATTTAACATGGGAGATAACTCTATAAGCCTCTGTATCATAAATGTTGCTTGTTTACTGTTTGTGCAATTCATTTAATCATGACATACACTAAAGTAAAACTAAAGTAACTGCACTTACCTGATAACATAGAACTTCAATAGTTGAGAAATTGCATTAAATCATGCAGTGTACTTAAGTTAAATTGAGGAATTGCATTTACCTGATGATAAACTCGCACCTTTCCTCAATGGTTGAGGATAAAATTCATGTAATCATGACATGTGCTAAAATGAACCTAAAGAAATGCATTGAACAGACAACCTGAGATCCTTACTCAGTGATGCTAATTACTTATTTACTTACTCAGCCTTTAACTCCCCCAGGCCATTGACGAACTCCCTCCATGTAACTCGATACAAATAAGGGATGTTAATTGCATGATTTGATTTTTTTTTACTGTAGAATACAAATGGGAGAAAAACAGTATATGGAAGCATTTAACAGTGAACTAGATGCTTTTAAAGAAAGAGTTAAAATTCGAGCCAAAGAAAAACTAGATAAAGCTATACAGGAATATGAAGAGGTATAGTAAAGCATTAAGAATAAACACCAGTGATATAAAACAAATATAACAGTTAATTAACGGAACTCATACAATTGGTATATTTTTTACCTGAATTCTAAGGGTAGATACATGGTACAATATATTTCTGACTTATATTGGTTGATGATTATTGTTACATCTAAACTGAGGTGTGAATTTTTTTAAATAAAGAAGGTTGGAACAATCAATTTGGATATTTTTAATAGATCTGACTTGATCTTTAATTAACTTTCATTTCTTTGATTGTTGTTTTGTTAAAGAACATTTAGTGGCAAATATTTCTTTCATATTCTGGGTCAATTGACCATCTGATAGGCTGATAAAATGATTTTTTTGAAAGAAGAAAAGAAAACCCAAATTTTTTAATGTTAATACAATGTTATGATTTTACAGGAAGAGAGACAGAAAAGATTAGGACCAGGTGGATTGGACCCAGTTGAAGTCTTTGAATCTTTACCACAAGTAAGGCCTAATATTTTGGTCTCTTTTTAACTTATTTGTTGAACTTTGTTTTATCTGAATAAATAAAAATGTTGGTTCAATGTCAATGAGACATCAACCCAATGACAAAAACAACCAAGCAATGGGGTCAAAGGGCAACATGTAATCCTGAAGAATAGAAGTGTCCATACAGTATGACAAGCTCATAATCAAGAGTCCAATAGAAGGGAATACATTAAACAGAAACAATCTAAGATATGTCCCCGTCATCAATGCGATAAATATAAAAAACATTAAGATATGACTCTAGAAAGCCACAAACGAGGATGCAGGCACTGAAATAAGTTGCAGGGTTTAACCCTTTTGCCACCTAGTCCTGGTTTACCGGGATTCACGCTTCAGACAGCTGACGATGAGTCTTGTTTTACCGGGCTCGGAATACCTCTTTTACATTTCCCGCTCAAAACATTGCAAACATGTGTCATCTTTCTTTGTTGATACCCCGATGAAAGTGTAAACATGGCGATTCTGTTTGTTGAAAACCGTGTCAAAATCAGATGAAATTCACAGAATTTATGAGAATTTGAAATAAGGGAACATTTTTTTAAAAAGAATATGGAAGAATTGAAGCCAGACTAGTATACTTTTTTGACATAAAATGCCGTTTTATGTACAAAACACTTGGAATGGACATCGTTCAGTGTAAGGAATTTGTACAGCCGCATTCAATTTTTCAAACTTATGCCGTTTTGGGTTAAAAAATTACGATTTTGGGTCAAAAAGTAGAATTTTGAGAATTCCACCTAAATAATGATGAAAATTTGAAATTTGAAATTTTTTATGAAGAAACAATTATCAAAACATGAACAAAACTGTGAACATGGTGTAAGGGAATGAAATAAAGACAAAAATAACTACACACTAGTTTTTATTATACGACCACGGTCGTTTATTGGTATGACGTTGGCGTTGTCGTCGTCGCCTTGGGCGTCATCGTCATCCGAAGACACATTGGTTTTCGCACTCTAACTTTAGTTTAAGTGAATGGATCTCTATGAAATTTTACCATAAGGTTCAATACCACAAAAGGAAGGTTGGGATTGATTTTAGGGGTTATGGTACCAACAGTTAAGGAATTAGGGGCAAAAAATAAACATTATTGTAACTTCCAGACATAACTTGTGTGTTAGTGTATGGATCTCTCTGACATTGTACCACAAGGTTCCATATCACAAAGGGAATGCTGGGATTGATTTTGGGGGTAATTACCTCAAAATTTTAGGAATTAGGGACCAAAAAAGGGGCAAAAAACAAGCATTTTTCTAATTTCATGACAATAACTTGTGTGTAAGTGTATGAATCTTTCTGAAATTGTACTACAAGGTTTCATATCACAAAGGGAAAGCTGGAATTGAGTTTGGGGGTAATTGCCCAAAACATTTAGGAATAAGGGGCCAAAAATAAGCATTTTTCTAGTTTCCAGACAATAACTTGTGTTCAAGTGTATGGATCTCTCTGAAATTGTACTGCAAGGTACCATACCACAGAGGGAAGGCTGGGATTGATAATGGGGGTAATTGCCGCAAAATTTTAGGAATTAGGGGCAAAAAAGGGGCAAAAAACAAGCATTTTTCTAGTTTCAGGACAATAACTTGTGTGTAAGTGTATGGATCTTTATGAAATTGTACTACAAGGTTCCATATCACAAAGGGAAAGCTGGGTTAGAGCTTGGAGGTAATTGCCCTAAACGTTTAGGAATTTGGGGCCAAAAAACAAGCATTTTTCTAGTTTCCAGACAATAACTTGTGTTCAAGTGTATGGATCTCTCTGAAATTGTACTGCAAGGTACCATACCACAAAGGGTAGGCTGGGATGGAGTTTGGGGGTGATGAATCATAAGGGGGTTCAAAAAATTTGGAGGGGGGGGATTTTTTTTTCCTTTTTTTCCTTTTTTTTTCTTTAAAATTTTCCATTTTAAATTGGTTATTTCTGATTTATATATAAAAGCAAATAATAATGATATGATTGGAATAGGTGAATTAAAATTTTTTTAGTTCTTAGACCACATTCATTCTGTGTCAAATATTTAATCACAATCCAAATTCAGAGCTGTATAAGCTTGAATGTTGTGTCCATACTTGCCCCAACTGTTCAGGGTTCAACCTCTGCGGTCGTATCAAGCTGCGCCCAGTGGAGCATTTTATTGACATTAATTATGAAGATCTCCCACTTGAGTCATAGTAGCCAGGGAAGCCATCGTCTCAGAGTAGCTTCTGTTGGGGCAGCTATGGGTGAAAGGGTTAAACAGATTTTTTTTAGAAATACCCCTTTTTTTACAGGAATCCATGGAATAACAAAATTTAACTAAAAAAGAACCTACAGTAGAAAGCAGAATAGAAAGATCACTAATAAAATAAAGGCATAGTAAAAAAAAACAAAATAAATGATAATTACTGTTTTAACCCTGCATCTTGTGCAAGACTGTAAAATATTAAATTATATTGTCAAGACTATAGAATTTTTACAACATTCTGCAACATAACCCATGTATTCTGATGAGGTGTTAAACATCCACAATTCAATCAATCCATCTATCGTAGATATCTTGATATGTATTTTATGGTCTTTCCTTAACTTTGAGGGCAATTGTTATGGTTTATCATTATGAAAATTGCACTCGATTGAAATTACTACATTCAAATAATATCAAGAAACATTCTTTTTTGTTTAATTTAGATTTTAAAAGATTGTTTTGATAAAAAAGACATTGCTCTGCTACAAAAAGTGGTGGCTGAAATGCCACAGGAAGAAGCCTCTTACCACATCAAAAGATGTGTGGATTCTGGTCTGTGGGTGCCAGGGGGTGGAGACCAAAGTACCGTGGGTGATGATGAGGGAGAAGAATATGATGAAATTAATGAAGGGGCTCTAGAACAGGAGTCAAAGAAAGAATCTGAGGATGGAAAAGGAAATAAGGAACCTGAAAAAGAAAAACCAAAACAAGTCTCTACAGAGGAGGTGGACTGAATATAGTTGTCTTATTTGTTGCTTAATGAATTTTTTTTATTAATGTATGTTATTATTACAACCTGAGAGATTTCTGTTCTTTTAGACATGAATTACAACTATTCAAAGCTTTATGGTTTATTCTAAGTATTGTTCCACTTAGATTACAATTAGTGTATAGTTTATGTACCTGATTGAACTGAGCATCCAATTTGGTGTTGATATACTTTAACCTGACTCAACCAGTTTGGTCATGAGTTATCAATGACAAGGGGAAATGGTTTTGAATGAGCTAAGTCAACTTTTGTTGTATCAATGGGATTAACTTACCTTTGTTTTCTCAAAGATAGACACTCATTTGTCTGGTTATTGTATCAATTGAAATGGTAACTTAAATGAATTGAAACCTTAGTGACTCCACAGTTTTCCATGACTCATACCCATTAAATTTTGAATTCAGTTGTTGATAGCTAAACATAATTGAAGTATAAAACTTGAACAGTCAAAAGAGGAAGACAAAGAAAGAGTCTATTAAAAACAAATTTAAAATTAGTAAAAGTAAATCTATTATTAAAAACAAATTCCCTTTTTTTAAATTGTTTTTGTTTACTTCTTAGGTTTAAACAATGCAATGTTCTCATTAGTGTTCATATTAGTTTTTGTATGGAATTATGATATGTTATTTTATATATCACTAACTAGATGAAGAATTTATTGTTTTTAAAATACACTTCATCTCAGTATTGAAAGAAATTGCTATAATAGATAATGATGCTCCAAAGTAGTTTAGTGGAGTATTTAGAAGAGTTCATTCATATGCATTATAAATATTGTTATTTGATCTTATAATTTCAGATTTAAGAACAAAAAGTTGTCAGGCCATTGTCATTTACTATCTGATAAATAAAAAAGCTTTAAGGCGTTATCATTTAATATGAAGATTATTATTTCTGCCCATCTCTTTGCAAAAGAAGTGTTTTGTTGATGCAATTATATTTGCATGATTTTGTTTCCACATTTAGAACAGATGAACAAATTAAGAAATGTGGTTCATACATAAATCAGGCAGTTACAAAAGTTGACAATAAAATAACTGTGATCTGCATAATCGAAAAGCTTCTCACTAATCTGTAAGCGGTATATCCCTGAAAGTCTCAACAGGTCATGAGCTTATTCAGAACAACCATTGTTGGATTTTTTTTACAGCAGTTTCTATAGTAATTTTCGAACTATTATTCCTATTGTGGGAATTTGCCATTGTTTTCAAAGTATAAAACATGAAAAAAGTTTTCTTGTATATTTAAAACAGATTCTAAAGATAAAGGGGAGTCTGGGAAACCAACAATGTGACAGCAACACATAAACACAAACCTGAAATACATCTATTAAAAGATCAAATAGCTACTTAAACTACATATATATTGTTCAAGATTTTCAAGTTTATCTGAAATAAGGTATAACTTTTCACTTGAATACCCAATATTTTTTTGTTTGGCTTTGTTGACAAGACGTTAGAAGTTGATTTTATAAGACATTGTTTGATTCAAGGGTCACTGATGATTCTTTTGTAGTCCAAACTCGTGTCTGGCATACACAATTATAAGCTTGGTATCTTTGATGAGTTTTTTTTCTTCAAAATATATATGTTGCAATAACTTGTATTGTATTGTTCATATTAATGTGAAGAAAAAAAACCCCATATTATTAGGATGATGCTTTGATTTAACACCATAACATAGTTGAAAAGTCTTTTTTTCTGAATTTAAAGGGAGATTATGTTTAACTTAATAAGGTTCAACCATTTGTTTCAATACACATTTGTTTTTTCACCTTTTGGATTTTCCGTACTACGAATAACAAGAGATGCTTTTATCACTGGTTCATAGATGTTACCTGAATCTTATTATAAATAGTTGTAATATCTACTGTTAACTACTGTACAATTTACAGTACAGAAATCTCTGTTAAATCGGTCATTCAAAAATCTTCTGTATTATTGATGAACTTAATGATATGATCATGATGATTATAACATTAAGCAATTATATTAAAAAAATTTCACATATAGAATAACTGTAATCTGTTTAATAATATTTGCAGTACATTAAATTTTCCATCACATTTTTATTATTATTCATCTTACTTTTCCCATCTGAAATTAATTAACCATCACTTTATATTAAACATTAGTTATCTTCCCTCTGGTAAAATTGGTTCAATATGCTGTTGCTTGTACAACATGACTATTATAGTGATACAATCTCTGCAATACAAAAATAGAATTTTCTTTGCCTTTTATAGCTTTCTATATGGTATAGGTTTTGCTCATTGTCAAATGCCATAAACAACATATAGTTACTTACAACCACATATTTGGTCTCCTTATTTTTATATTGGTAGGATCTTGAAAAGCCCCCTTTATATTTTTTGAATCAGACTGAATTCATTTTATTGTATTGGATGGAAAACAACTGAAGTTTTAACAAGTTTCCACACTGTGACAGGAATTTGAACAACTCTGAATGACCAGTGTGTTACTTTCTTAAATAAAACTCCATAAATCAACCTCTTTGAGATGACTAATGTTTAGTGAGTAACTGTGATAGTGCTTTTCATAACTTTTTATGAGGCTATTCCACTAAAATAATTTAGCCTGGGGAAAAAATGAAAGGACTAAAGTTTTTTATGATGAAATAATGAAAAGATATTCCTTTCAAATTCCTTTCCATATGATATATTCCTAATAAGGTTCTTATAAATTGTGGCTTTTAGGCCAAACAGAAATTCAAATGCAGTCTTCTGAGGTCAAAGTTTACATTAACACTCTATTGGATATTACTTTCTGCTATTATCAGGTACCAATTAAATGAAATATAAACAAAATGTTCCTTAGAAGGTACTTACAAAGTGCTGTTTGTCCTAAGGCAAAGTGCAATATTGCTCCAAGATGCCAAAAGTGGTCCAATTGGTCCCACTTTCAAAGATGTTGAGTAGAAATACTGAACAAATTCAAAGCTTAGTTTACCAGATATGTCATATTTATTATTACTTTGGTTCTGATTACAGATTTATTTTTTACGTTTGGATAAAATCAATTTAGAGTTGGACCTTCAAATGCCACTAAATTATCGGTGTACCTCATGCATCATTCAGCACATGTCAGCAGAAATTAATAAACATACATCCATATAATTAGGCATGCATCGAGACTGTCAATTTGCTGTAAGAAGAAGGTCACGTGAACCATACATTATTGTTGAGTGGATGAAAGGCTTTGTTCCATGTAATAAGTTTAACGTCTTTATTTTTATACACTTAGTTATTTAAAATTATATAACTTGATGTAATGATACATTAAGGGGAGGATGATAGTTTCCAGCCAAAACAGGTCATTTTGTCTTTTACTGTTTTTTTTTTATTTGTGTATCCTGATGTAAGGATGAATCTTGGAAGTAAAGCAGCATCCCTTAAAAAATTAGGTATCTATAACATATAATAATGACAATTCAACCACAAGGTTAACATGCCAGTTCAAATCCCAAAGCAGTTTCTTACAAATAAGGAATTCGCTCTAACCTGCATTTGAGGCTGCACTGAAGCACTAAGTTTAGTTAAGATTTCAGATATTAAGTAACCTACATCACTGATTTGCTGTAAAGATGCAATCTTGGAGAACAGTTATGACCTACATTAAATGCCCTTTTTATGCCCCGCTGTAGCGGTGGGGGCATTAAGTTTTACCCTTGTCCGTCTGTACGTACGTTCGTCCGTACATCCCAAAATTGGTTTCCGTTCTCTAACTTGAGTTTGCCTCAACCAAATGTTATGAAACTTATACACAATGCTTATTACCACAAAACATAGATCATGTTTGAATTTTGGTGGCGTCACTTTAACCGTTCTAGAGTTAAGCCCCTTTATAAATGGAAAAATTGCAAAATTTTTAGTTTCCGTTCTCTAACTTAAGTTTGCCTCAACCAAATATTATGAAACTTATACACAATGCTTATTACCACAAAATACAGATCAAGTTTGAATTTTGGTGGCGTCACTTTAACCGTTCTAGAGTTATGCTCCTTTATAAATCGAAAAATTGCAAAAGTTTTATTTTCTTCTAAATATCAAGTGATTTTTAAAATTGGAGTTATCTTCCCATGTCCATGATTAAAGTTGAATCAACTACAATCATTGCTTTATACAATGCAATGTTAAATTTTGACTTCCACTGATAAAACACAGATCAAGTTGAATTTGGGTAGTGTCACTTTAACCATTATTGAGATATGCCCCTTTATAAATCGAAAGATTGCAAAATTTTTAGTTTCCATTCTGTAACTTAAGTTTGCCCCAACCAAACATGAAACGTATACACAATATTCATTACCACAAAACTAAGATCAAGTACAATTTTTTTGTTTCCGTTTTCTGACTTTAGTTTGCCTCAACCAAATGTTATGAAACTTATACACAATGCTTATTACTACATAATACAGATTA